TTATGATTACTATTGTTTCTACAAATTTTGATAACAATTGGATTAAACTGTTTACTGGTAATTCTGAGTAATTTTATTAAATTCACTTTGTGTATCGTGTCTAGGAATTGGAGTGGTACCAGACTTCATAAACAGCTTTCTTTTTCTTCTCTAAGGCGTAGATAATTTGGAATGAACACACAAAATAAAGCAGAAAACTGCCTCTATGTTCTTTAAATGTATACGCTTTAGTAAATACATGTAAATTGATATAAGCAGTTAGAAGTGACTTATTACGAATGTTTACTGACTTTTTTATGTTATTCGACATAGCGTTGTGTTTAGTGGGTTTAGAAATTTTATATGCGTTTGCCTTGCATCCTGTGATGTAACAGAAATATTGCCACTCATAGGAGTGGTCAGAAAAGCCTGTCACTAACTTAAAACATACTTGTTGAACATACTTGTGTCAGCACTTTTAATAAGAGATTGATTGAATGCTTAGACGCTACACTTAAGCGAAGTACAGACTGAAAAAATTTCGTAAATTCATTTCAGGGGTCTGTTAATGAACTTTAATATCAAAAGCCACAAAGTAGCTGATACATCAGAGTTTCCATTTGTTCTCAAGTCATGGCTTGCAAGTACACCCCGACATTTTTCTCTTTTACTCGTAGAAGCGGTGTTTAATTAATGATAAACTAATAACTATTACCGTATTCAATATCTGCTGACTTTTTTTATAAGATTAACCTCCAAACTCCAGCTACGAGTCCACTTAACTGATAGATATGAACCAACTTTGAGCACGAGCTTATAGAAACGTTACATAATCTATAGCTAAGGATCCCTCTAACTTAAGTAGTCTCGGTAGTGTATTGGAATGTGGTAGGAGTATCAAAAGATCTGAGATAATATCGACAAAAATACAACTTGTAATGGCCTTCCATGTGTACAGGACTATATTTGCAAGTCAGCCGAAAGTGATTAGACTCACAAAGAATGCCCTTTAAAATTGATAAATGATAATGTGGATGAAATAAGATTATAAGATCATGTTTTTGTTACAATAATTATTGGCAATGGCAGGTTTAAGTGAAATAAAGTGATATCAGAGATTATCATGAACAAACTCATGGATATATGAGAAGTAACTAGAGAGTGGGAGGATATTTCCAAGTGCAAAATAAAGTAGTAGTAGTTCACAGCGGTGGTAAAAACAAGAATAAGACGTACTTACTTTGCACACATTTCTGGCTTTATCTCATGGACGGAAAGAGCTTCTGCTATTTTAAAAAGCCAGATACGAAGAAGTATAGGTAGATTTGGACGAATTGTGTACACAACATTAAAATCAAACTGTGCATCAACGTATTGATCAAAATCGATGAAATGTTCGTGAATATAACTACCAATCTCATTCCTCTCACCCTCGTGAAAGCACAATGAAGTATGTTCTCGTGTCCGAGTTGAAGACAATCTCTGACCACAGCCTATGTACTTTGCTACGCAGGGACAGTGAAGTGACAGATGCATATGGAGGCGACCAGATGAAGGAGCTTTATCATTTACAGATACAGAAAACAAGTTTTTGCTAGTGAACGTTAGTAGAAGCTTCGCTGCATGGAATGTTCCTTTTATAGCTGTCAATAGCCGATTTTTCGATATATTAGAAGTTTAGTTCTTGTTGAATTCCAAATTCATATAAAAATATTTTTGTGGGACGGATTTTCCGGATTTCTTGTCCCGACCTTCTTTCATATTCTTCTCTAAGAATAGGCTTGAATAAGATTCAACCAAAGCAAAGCAACTGTAAAGTTCAGTGTGTTTAGAAAATGAAAACCGGATGTTTTACTCGCTTATTAAAATAACGTTGATTTTTTTAAATGATGTGATGTTGACATACTAAACTGTGAAAATTAAATAATCATAACGTATAAATATGTAAGGCTCGAAAGTATTCTGATCAAATCCTGTCAATCAAACTGCAATATGGTCACTTTTGATCTTATGTCGTTCAATGTATTCCACAAGAAACCGTAGAATTCAGTTTGTTCAGATTATAAATATTGAGTTATTCAGATACTTCAAAGAGTATTAGGCTGAAAATAATAGTTATAAAATAGTTTTGAAAAGTGTTTGGAGCATCATTTTGTTTTATTTGTGGCTACAGTATCAGAAAGATACCACTGAACAATGATGGTGGTAAATAATGAATTGAGGCTTATTTGTTCTTCTATAAGATAACATTTGTGATGTATATAACTGGTTTTATTTCCATCTTGAATAGGACAAATATCACAGTTTTTGCTTAAGGACACAATATTAGTCCGTCAGTCTAATTGTAAATGGTTTTATTCAAATGTAAACTGTAGATTTTGGTTTTCGACAGTAGAGAAATTAAAAGATTGTTCCGTTGTACTATTTAAACTTGGATTAATATTAATTTGGTTATTTATTCTCTGAAGAAGTGGCTTACACTGAGTCACGAAACGTCAGAAAATCTAATTTTTCTGCTCATTGAGATATTACAAATATATAATTTATTTATAAAAGATTTAAATAAATCAAATGGGCATAAAATTAGTAGCAAAATTGTAGATATTTTCGCGTTTTACTTTACCATTAAATTTTAAGGTAAATGTTCTTAGTTTCTGTCTATTTGTTCTTTGTCTTTTCACACTTAGTCGGTTATTCAAGTTGATTCATTTGAATTTTTTGGTATGATATTGCAAGCCTTGAAGAGCATTGGATAGGGTTACATTAAAAGTCGATACTAGTCGGTCCTTTTTAATCATTTGTACTATCAGTGTTAAAGTTTTGTTCAAGACCACAACAAGCCGTCTCAGGTTTCGAAAAGTTAACCACAAACTACCAGGAAAACACGGTATTTTAATTCCTCAAATGTTGCCCTTTGTTATTCTAATTTTAGTTTACATCACAAAATGATCTTAATCAGCCATTGAAAACCAGGAGGCAGTCAACTGCTTTGTAAAATATAAAAATCACACATTAAATACATCATTTGCATATCTTCCTTGAGTTGTCCTTTACACACACACCATCATTCTTCCAATCCCTTTATTATTCCGATTGCACTCTGTTCTTCTTTCTCCTCTCTTTATTTCACTTTTCACCGGTAAGCATTCAACTTCTTATTCCTACTACATACTACTTATATCCATCCACATAAGCAGCACATACTACATAACTCTTTCGAAATCAAAAATATCATCTAAAAAATAAAAAATAAATGCCAAGTAAAACTTATTTTGCAGTTTCCTTGAACTAAAAAAATTAAACAACGAATTCACCTTGTCGATATATCATATCATCATTTGCATAGTTGAAATCATGAGTCAATTAAAGCTAGGCCACCATGGAAAACCTGGAAGCACTGGATGGACGTTTCGTCCTATTAAGGGACTCCCCATCAGCTCACATCTACAATCCACCTCGCGAGATTCTAACCCAGGACCAACCAGGTTTTCCATGGTGGTTTAGCTTCAACTATGCAAATACTGAAATCTCCACAAAACCCCTTCTGATAATATCATATCATTGTTTATCAAATTGTACGTGATTGTAATTCTCCATACATAAGTTAAATTGATTATAATAGTAGCTGAAAATCCATTTATTTAATTACTTATAACACGTAAATAGATCCTCAAGATTCAAATTAAAAACGTTTATTAATCATTTGCTTTTTGTTTTATTAAACAGTACAATGATTAAAAGAAAAGAAAAGGTTAGAAAATTGATCTGAATGTATCCTTTATGATATTGAATAAATATAGGTCATGTATATATGTATATATTACAAATCTCTATTGTCTAACCATAATTAGTTTGTACTTACCTTAAACTTATTATGATAAATATCAGAAAGGTGTTTTGTGGAGATTTTAATAATTTTATATGGTTGAAATTATGGGTCAATTGAAGATAGACCACCATGGAAAACCTGAGAACACTGGATGGCCGTTTCGTCCCATTGTGAGACTCCTTTTCAGTGCGCATCCACGATCCCGCCTCACGAGATTCAAACCCAAGAGCTATCAGTCTCGCGCGCGAGCGCTTAACCACTAGACCGCTGAGCCGGCATCCAACAGCGATCGAGTGGTTAAGCGCTTGCGCGCATGACTGATAGATCCTGGGTTTGAATCTCACGAGGCGGGATCGTGGATGTGCTCTGCCACTGAGGAGTCCCAAAATAGGACGAAACGACCGTCCAGTACTTCCAGGTTTTCCATGGTGGTCTAGCTTCAATTGACTCATGATTTCAACTATATAAAATTATCATGATAAATATTGAATTTAATTTATTATCATAAGTTGTAAGATGAATTTGATTTTTATATCTTCTATACAAAATAATATTAATAAGTTTATGTATATGAATGGTGTACTTAATACATTGAGCTAATACTATCATTCTATCAAAAATATATAATTTAGAAAATCATTACGTTTGTGCACTTCTGTTGAATGTTAATTTTATAAAGGAAATACATTTTTCCAATGACTCAGTAATTTATTTATTACTTTTAAAGCTATCAAGTTGAGTATCTAACATTAGTAGACTGAGAATAATAAGTGGATCCAAATAATGACAGGGAAACATTGTAACCGGACAATTTAATTTATAGTTGAGAAATAATTATAAGTCTAAGTTTGATTGTTTTACTGTCTTGTTTTGTTGGAATGGTTGGAATAGTCGAATAAAAGTAGCTCTGGACATTGATTTAGTTCTAGTTTGGTAATTCTTAGCAGTTTTTTTAACACTTTAACCCTTGGTATGCATTGTTTTGGTCTCAAATAGTAATTCTATAATTTGCCAATATTTAATAGTATTCAGTGGACAGATTGTAAATAGATGGTATAAAGCTTCATCAAATTAACTAGTTTATAAACTAATCTTAGTTTCACCATCATTGAAAACCTGAAAGTACTAGATGTTCATGAATTTAACCATTAAAAAAGATCTCTAAAACTATTGTTTTTTTTTGTCTTTTCAGGTGGAATATTAGCGTTTCGTTTTGGTCCTAAATGGATTATTTTTTCTAGTTTATTTGGATGTGCTATCACAGAATTTTGTATACCAACTGCAGCACGTATTCGTGTTGAATTATTAATTACTTTACGTGTTATACAAGGTCTTCTTCAGGTAAATTATTAAGCACTTTTCTTATTAGAATTAATCATTTGATTAATTAATTAAATAATTGATAAGGTTACTGATTATAAATTGGTCTCATAAAAGAACTTGTATTATATGCTAATTTTCACTGTTTAGTATAACAAAAGTTTTCAGTTCTCTTTTGCTTGGTTACAATGAAAGAAATCCCCTTATACACTTACACATAGTCATTCATGTTTGTCATCGAAGTAAGACAGATATATTTGCTTAAAATTTTCTTAAAGAATGTTTGTTCTTTAAGGTTAAATTTTAGTCATATTGATAAGTTCATCTTATTGTGTTAATTTTATTTTGACATATTGTAACAGACCCAACGTTGTATATGAGTAACTCAAAATGGGCACTTGAATTTCGATATCCATTATTCATGAAACTTATCGTTAGGTTAATTTTTTTTTAAAGAAAAATTATTCATTTGATACGAAGACACGAGTATAAAAGGCTAGTTTTCATCATTCATACAGAGAGATGAAGAGATAATTATTGAAATGCTTGGTGGTTGACAAGAAATCCTATTCAATCTAGGTTTCATACTAGATGATACTTGTCAGGAAAGCATACCTACAATTTTGAATTTGAACATATAGTGCAAAATATTACCAATAAGCTATTCGCTTTACAACTGACCTCTTATACCACTGAGGTATTTACAATTGATTGATCACTCAACAATAACCAGTTTTGTGTTTGCCTAATCCTTTCAGTGCTGATCAAATTCGATCCATACTCTGCCGAATACAGTAATTTCATTCAAATTTCTTATGAAACACTAACTGATTATTATCGTTATTCCTGTTCAAGACTTAAACCTTTTTTTGTTTTCTTAATCAACACTGATTGTGTATTTGCTTCCTGATAATGATTTGTCGATAATAATGGAGTCAAAATAACTCTTGCCAACTACTTTCCAGGTTTTTTTTTTAATTTTAAAAACACTTTCATCTAGCGATTATCCATTTCATGATTCAAAAAAAGAACACTCTTAAATCAATTAATCTTTTTTGAACAATCTACTATCTCTATAACAGTATTAATAATTACCGATTTTAGTTTCATATTTCAAAACAAAATTGCAGGTAATTCGAGAAATATGTATATACATATTATAGATAAAATAAACGCTATTAAGCGTTACGTACCGTAATTTATTTCTATCGAAAATCAAAGATGGAAATCGCATATAAGTGTTTTTTTCTATACTGAGATGTAGAATATAAATAGGTAATTAAACATTAAGTTGTAATTCTTAACGATGAATCAATGCGAAATTCAAAGCTAGTCACTAGTGAGCACATGATAATTATCAGTACAAGAGTTTGGAAATTGTTGAGTTCATATTGAAATCATGAACCGAATTAAGTTAGACCACCAACAAAAACCTGGAAGCACTGTTCGGCCTTTTCGTTGATATATATATATATATATATATATATATATATATATATATATATACTCTGAGCCGTGTCGGTAGATGCCGACTACTTTGTTGGGGTCCACGTGACTGTCGTAATCAATGGCTGGAGACTCTGGGTGACATGGTTCAGGATCGATCACAATTGTGTAGGTGTATACACTACTAGTCTTCCCTTAAACCGTGAGATTAAGATCTCTTCATATCTGTCTTTCTTCCTGTACTATGTCCTTATATACAATCTTTCTTTTATATATTGCCACCACTAAATTAACTACTATGAATTTGTGCTAATGAGGTATGGTAACTTTGACATATATGTGCATATATGTGCCTGGTCCTACGTTGTAGCTGACTGACTGACTGATATATATGTGATTAACAACAATCAATAATACTCATCGAGTAGTTACATTACGTACTAACTATATAACGACAGATGGATTATAAAATCATGTTAAGTAATTGAAAGAAAGTGGATTATAATAGTCAAAGTGATTATTCGAAAAATCAAACAGTTGCTACATTGCACAGTATATAAAAAGAAAGAACTAGCAAAATTTTAATGAAAGGTCAGTGTTATGGTAGTTATGTAAGAATCAAGAGACCGATTTTGAGAATATGTAAATTGCAAAAGTGGAAGAAATTAAAAAAATAATTCAAATTGTTTTGAAGGAAAGGGTTTCATCGAAGTTCAGCCACAAACTCACTTGCATACCAATTGCCAAGGTAGCGACAAACGTCTTTTGGAAGCAAAAGTTAGGTATGTGAACATGGATTCTGATGGTTTCAGTAATGTTCAAAAGGCAAACTCGTAAACCATGAGGCAAATTTGATAGGATAATGTGGATAACCTTAAAAGCTTTATTCAAGTCAACTTGATGACCTGTTTCCACCAAGTGAGCGAGGGTAGAACTTTTAATCACTCTTACTTATCATTTGCTCAACCAAGAGTAATTGAAAAGAAATTTCTTCGATTTATTCTTTTTACCATATGTCAAAATGCGAGTTCTCACTACATGTATATCTGTTTAGTTTGGTGGGTGTCAGTCGCAATAAACATTGAGCCAGCCACAGGTGTACGTTGGTACAAGTTACTATGTTATATTAGGAGAATCACAATAATATAGTTTCAATAATAACTCGAAACAGTGAGCACTGAAAATATGGTATGAAGAAACAGTATAAAAAGGTATATATGAAGAAATACTGAAACTCAAGATTTAGAGAAAGATAAAGAGTGAATATACATGCCCTGTTATGGAAGATTTTGATTCATATTACTAAAGGTTTTTAACTGCCGATCGCATTAATTACGCGTACTCCGACCATGTATTCTGTATCGGCCAACATGATTGATACTAATAGTTAATGACTTGATGAGCTGTCATGTTATTACTTAGTCACTCCTATCATTCTTCGAACCTTCTACTGCATCAGCAAATATCACTCATTAATGTAGGCAGCTGTTAAGGATACATCACTCATATCCCGATCAACTCAGTCTACGAAGTCTCATCACCTCATCAATTAGTTCACCAATATCGACAGTTTTCATACAACATACATGTCTGATAACTGGGTACACTAATCACATTCCCATTAAATATCTACTATTTCCCACTCTTAGCCTAAAAGGTAATACTGATTAAATTCAAACAGTATTAAATTCTAAAAAAAAACACCACATTTAAACAATCATATTTAATTGACCTGAGAGAAAAAACGATTTGTTTGATGTTCATTATTTATTATCTAAATGATTCCTTATTATTATTATTATTTTACAAAAATCACGCTACATAGATGTTCATTAATCTTTATGAGATAATTTCGTAAAACCAAGATTTTATTGAACATTGAATGTACATGAGTGAAAAAAATATCATTCAGTGTAGTTCAATGTTTCAATTGGATCTGTTAGCTTTGCTTTTTTTTTCTTTTAAGAAAAAGAATTTATAAATCTCATAACCATAATTGATAATCATATTTGAATAGATCATGACGACAATTGAATGATTTTTGTTCGTTTGTTTGTTTGTTTGTTTTTATTTCCATGACATTTTTGGTTCTTATTTTTTTGTTTTTTTAAATGATGATTTACTATTAACTATTGAAAATAGTGGTTGATAGTAACTGCTACTATTATTTGGTGATCAAGCTTGTATATTTTGAAGACTTATTCGAGTTATATTGGTTAGAGTATATGTTCTTCTAGATACTATCTTGTTAGGCAAATCAGCATGATCAAATGCAGGGAACTCATATTTTGAGGGTTAAGTTGCATTGCTGGTTGTACTGGGTTGTGACAGCAATAAGGTGTTTTTCTTAGACAACCGGCATCTGCAGTACTGCTGCTTTAAAAAAATTTCATCCCTAAAAATAGTACACTTCATCTCATCCTAAAAATTTTCATTGTCTGTAGTTAGGCTTCGAAAGTACGGAGTTATACATCCAAATTTGCCCTCTTAAAAGCTGTGTATGCATGACATCAAGTATTTTCTCCTCGGGTGGCGGGGTTTCCTTCTCAGTTCGTCAAAGTCATGTACAGCTCAGTTTGTTTTACACATATATCAAGAGGAAATATCTTTTCAAGTTGTAGACAGCCTGAAAGAAAAAAACACATCCATTCATCATTTTTAACACTCAAGATTACCATCTTCAAAATCTAGCTGCATACACGGTTTGTTCAATAAATACACAGACTGATTTATTAGTTTTCAGTGAAGCCTGTCAAAAACTCTAAGAAAATTTATAAGATGTTAACTGCTGTTTGGTGAGATAACTAATTGAGGAAAATACTTTCTTCCTAAATGAATCAAGAGTTTCTGTATATGTTGTAAAAGATGATTTAACCAGGTTGACAATAACACCGAACATGTGTGATGTTTTGCGACTTCGTAATAATTAGCGATGAGTAAAATTTGGAAAAAATTGCCTTTGTTTGCAATACTAGCGAAATGTGAAAAGAAAAGGCAGCTGAAGAAGCTGATATTTGAAGAGTTCCATCAACATTTTGAACAATGGGAACACAAGTATAACAACTATATTATCACAAATGAAGAGTATTTTGAGAAAATGGGAAGGAAAAAAGATTAATGCTTATTAAATGTTTTTAAAAGAAACTCATCTCGCATATTTACTAAATGGATTACATAATGTCAATACTGGCCTAACAGTTAATACCGGGATAAATATTTCATTTTATTCGGGAATCGTCACCTACGTATTCCTTCCAGCTCTATCAAAGCATTCATTAATTCATGAATCCCCATATATCACTACAATCTGGTCAACTAATTTCAGAAAATTTTTGTAATTAACCTTAGCCTTGGTTACAATTTCGCTCAAGAAACCACTTATTTGAACACTCTAGAATACTATTTTCATTCACTTTATTCAAAAAATCATTGCAGATTTCCCGTTTATATCGAGTGTTATTCAATCATTCGTATTCTTGAAGATTAGCCTTTACTGATGAGTGATGACTTGGATGAAACCGACGTGAAACAGGATATTTTTTTGACTACCACCAACCATCTAACATTATTTTTTGCATTAATGCTACCTGAACGTAATTCTTGTTTTGCCTCCGTATAAAAAAGTTAACCATGTAAGCTAGGTATTGCATTATGTTATGTATTGTAACCTACCTAGTCTACACTAGTCAGCTTTAAACTGTGTCAAATAAACTACTGATCATTCACAATGTGTGTGCTGTTAGTTACTTAATCCATATTAATTATACCCACGTGATTATCGCAGTTACATCACATAATAACTATCGGAATTATTCAAGGCGCTAACCGTTTCACAAGCGTCATAATTAAATTGGAATTGTTAAACTCCTTCTATCCGTCTTTGATCTTTAGTCGAATATTTCTTGGTTAATATTTATTTATATTACTGGATATTATGTTCAGACACTGCAAAACACGTCATGAGGATTAGTTGTTTTATCCATATCCCTCCTAGTGTGTGTGTGTGTGTATGATTATGATTTAACAACCTGCCACATTTGTCATTCATGTTTACTGGATTTCATTTGAATGTTTGCGGATGTTCGTCAAGATAACAATAATAATAATAATAAGTGTTATGGTCATTATTTTTATTCAATTTAAAGGTTAAACTCTTGAAAAATGTATTCCAGTCGCATTCAACTTTGTTTATATGAAAATAGGCGGATGTTTTATTTTGAATGCCAATTTTATTTAGATTTGTTTATCTTGTCAAATTCATTGTGTTCTTTGTTTAAATTGACAAACTGCTCGGTAAAATATGTTTACTATTTTCTCTCTCTATTTATTTCTATACTGTAATTGGTGCTACAGATAATGAAATATGGAAAATATCTAACTTTTTGAAGGTTACTCACATTAGAGGCGAGCAAACAGTTAGTAACAACTTGAGACATAAAATAAGATTTCTCTGGTGAGACTATAATTCATGGACAACCTTTGAGTGACACCAATGTAACCTTGATAAAATTCACCAACTTATTACGGCCTAAAGAGGGTTGTAAGTTAGTGTGAGAAATCAGAATCGGCATTTATTGTTAGAATTTAAGTTTATGAATTATGATTACAGTTTTCATCACGAACTGACATTATCGATATTCTCAAAATGCTATTTAACAATATGAATAGATGAATTTGGCCTCAAAACCCAAGACTATCTTGAATTGGTTTGATTCGTCCAAAAGTTATAGTCTCGCCGTTTGTTCACTTCAAATCATCACAATCATCTATAGCATATCTCAAATTAATTTCGGCTGATGTAGTTTTACGATTCACCAGTGAGCTTCCTACCTTTTCTTTACAGTTCTACTGTTTACATTAACATGTGAATATACATATATGTTTCTTACTTTCATTGATAATATCTATCACTTGTATAGGAGAATATTATACACATCTTCTGATGTAATTTTCTGAAAGTCTGGTCTAAAATTCGTGTCCATATTATAACTTGACCCGAATAGCTTATGAGTAATATCCTTACGCGCAGTATAACAGAACACAATAGACTAGTCGTTTTGATATTCATATTTCTGATCTGATTCAAGTATATTTTCTGTCTCTCCTCTTCTTCGTATTTATTCATTATTGCCATAGAGATGTAACGATAACTAAAATATAAGAGAATTGTAGAGCCAACCAAGTGTTGATTGAGCGATACATTTAAGTATCTTAAGATCACAGTGGATGATAGTCTTACCATAAATTATTAAACTTGGAAATGCAAATCGCTGGACTGTAACTCGTCTTTGTTACAAAAATTTTGAGTCCTATATTTATAATCCTGTTTCAGGTCATTATCTCGAACTAGGAGAAAACAATTGCCAGTTGTACACTGGTCTTCCAGCTAATCCAAACAGTCTGTGATCAAATTTGTTTTTAAAATCTCTTCGTCTAATAAATATCCAGGTTTGTCTTAAAGTGAAATAACTTATTTTCCATAAAAAAACTATTTATCACCTTCTGCTACATGGGTGTAATATATACGACTAGACTATACTGATTCATAACAAACGTTCCAAATAAATTGATACCTGTTAGGTGGTTCGAAGTAGTCAGGATGTAACCATGCTGGGCTTATGTGTCGTGCTAGTTAGAATTCGTCAGCAAGGTGTACCTACAGTCTAAGGAGAACTGATATCCTCTGTAGAAATCGAATCCACCAGCCTTACAATCTGAGACACTACTACTGAGCTCTTCACTCCACAACTGAATGACAACCTTTCGGTCAGTCATGTTTCCGATTGACCAACCTAATCTCTCAACATAGTTTATTTGATATCTAGTCACTCAAACTAGTGATCATACCGGAATTTGTCGACAGAATTTGACCAGCTACGTAAAGTGACTAGGCAAATATAATATTGATCATTATTACTTGGTGATCCACCAATTATATGCAACATCCAGTTCCATAAGGTCATTAGTTTATTTATCTTTTCATTTCATTTTGTTTACTTTATTTTTATTCCGAAAAAAAGGGTGTAGTGATGCCGAATACAGGGTGTTTAGTTGGAAATTGGTCACCACCAAGTGAAAAAAGTCGATTTACCACATTCGTTTTCTCAGGTTTGATGATTTTATTCAATCATGTTTTTATTTTTCACAACATTTAATAAGTTATTTTCATTTGTTTCATATACTCTTGAATTGTGTATAAGTATAGTATTGTGGAGAGAAGAGTTTATTTTACATTACTAGATTGTAAATTATTATAAGTCACCGTTTTATTATTATTCCTATGATTATCAATGTAGGCGATTTGTAGGAAATGCGCAATTTGTAGTTCAGTTCATGAGCTATTGAAAATTACGCGGGACCAGATATCTGTTTCGTTCTCACTACATCGCGATGATTAATTCATCACAGATCATACCTAAGATGTTCATGGTTTACAGGAAGTTGTTTACTTATTAACTACCGACTATACACTCAGTGATTTACATTACTAACTTTAGTCAACTCGTGGTACCACGCAACTATCATCTGTTGCGATCTCATCCAAAATGCTTAAACTACACCTGTCATGACTTCTTTTAATATATTCTGTGGATCAGATACACGGTTACAATAACGCTATTTGTAGTGTTAAACAATTCTGATTATTATCAATTTTATAATTTGTACAGGAATTATGCACCACAATAGAAAACCTAATATACTTCAGGGTTAATAAGCAAACAAACAAAAATTATTTAGAGGTGCTTACGTAATGTATCCATTACAAGTGTGAACTGACTTTTAAACTTCGGTATTTGTGAAACCATCCAGTATGTCCTGTCTTCTTTGTTTGAAGATCACTAACTCACTGCCTAGATAAACACTAAAGAACTGGGTTTGGAAAAATCCTCTGTACGTACGATTCAAGCAAAAGAAAGTTATTTCCAAAAGCTGTCTCCAATTAGGCTGACACCTGGTCAGAAAGCTGAGAAGAGTCATCGTTCTACGAGTACGCCATTTGTTTCTGAAACCACAGGGAACGAACAAGAGACAAAACGTGAAAATATGACGTAAATAAAATACCTGATTTCTAAATACAATCAGGAGTTTTTTGAATGGTGGAAATGAAGACGTGTTAAGTGTATTACCATAAATACGAAATATTTTGAAACGTTTAAGATTGATCAGTGTTAAATTCTCTCCAATGATGAATTTTGTTAGTGTAGGTTGGTTTATGGTAATGACAAAATTTCCATAGCTTACATCGCAGACTGATCTCAGTTAGAGTAGGGAGCTGTTCTGCACTATTATAGGACAGTTCGACAATGCTCATCATCGACCTCATTCGAGGATCAAACCTAGAACCCTCGGTTACACATTCAGGAGCTTAACCTTTAGACCACTGAGCTAGCTACCGATAGTACACACGTCTAACTTCAGTAAATTCACAGCACCATGTGTCCATCTCCCATCGTTTGTTTGAATCTTCCCATTGATCTTTAGGACTGAAACTGATCAGTCTCTTATTGCATATGTGTATACTGTGCGTATTTCCCCGATATAGCCTTAATTCACAAGCATTGTAAGCAAAGATGGATAGTGGCTAGAAGTGGTATCCAGGACGCGCTCTTCGTTCTATATGGTACTCGTCACCTGGATGAATCTGCATCTCAGGGTTGATATTCACTATGGGATTCAAACCCAGTACCTTTCGCTCCAAACGCCATCGCATTATCCACACACCTACTGATTCCTGATAGCCACTTACTTGTGCAATGGGATGAAGTTTAAGTTCACTTAGTATTGTTTATTTGAATCTTTCCACTTTCTAAAGTTTTAATTTAGCTACTTAAAAGTATTAAGTAGTTAAAAATTACACAATAGCAGCTGGTGTTTCTGCTTAACGCTCGTTGGAAGAGTGTACTTGTAAGTACGTTACATTTTTTAGAATTTACTCACTTCCATTTGTCATATACTAACTGCATATCTCTCCTGGATTTAATGTTAGCCAGTTGTATTCAAAAATTTTTTCTCAAGGTTTAGTAATTGGTGCTGTTATTGGTCAATCATTGGCTGGTGTAATTTCACAACCAAGATTAGTTCATTCGACTGATTTAACAACTCCAACGTATATTTCCTATTGGCCTTATGTTCATTATATTTATGGTATAATCGCTGTAGTCTTCTCTGGAATCTGGACTGTTTTAGTATTTAATAGTCCTAATCAACATCCATGGATTAGTTCAAGTGAGAAACAATATATTTTATCAACATCAGTACATAATAATTCTGAAAATGATAACAAGTCAGTAAGTTGAACTTCATCTAGATATAGATTTTGTATAAATTGGTAAAGGTTTGTAATTTCCTGATGTCGATTTTTGATGAGTGCGATTGATCAGTCTCAATATTTTAACCTGAACTCAGTAACTTGGTGAATTACTGAATTTAAGTATTGGGGTGAAAATCAACAATGAAATTCAGATACTTCCGTCTAGTTATTTGCAAATTAGACAAAATGTAAATCACAGATTCTACTTATAGTCATCACCCAACTTTAATGTATAAAGCTTGAGAACAGTGAACCCAAGTAAACTAAGGCAATATTAGACCTAGAATAGGGTCAACCTGACATGAGTTTAAATACTTGTCAGTGGATGGAGTAAATTCATAATTCTAAGGGCTTCAAAGTGACTGAAAGTAGCATTGAACTACATCTAAGCCATTTTGCTATGTCTTTAGGTAATTTTTTCATGAGTGTTAAGCGTGCATAGATTGTGTTATTATTGGGACCCTATTTATATTCGTACAGTGTGGTTACATTTTATGAAGAGCCATAATCTAGAATCAGTGATCATCAACGTCTAATATCGCCATTATAGTCTAGCCATTTCATTGATTCACTAATTTAGAATCCAGTCGAGTTGAGGTAATCATTGAGAATGGGTAACAAGGTAATTTTAAGTGATATGAAAGGTATAGGGGAGGTTCTGGTTTCCCAATCCTTCCCAGTGTAGAAAGATACTTGTTTGTAAGGTACTATATAATAAAACTGGGTTACGGGTGAGCTCTATGACCTGAGGAAGTAACTCCACATTCCAAGGGACAGCTGTCCAAGTTTGATCATACATAGTATTTTTGTAAACAGTTTTGAATGTGTTAGTTCCCTATTTGTAACTCTTTAAAATTAGAGGAAGGAATCCATTGGGAAAGGCGAAGTGTTCTATTTTTAGGGCTGGCCGTTTCTAACCCCTTCTTTTCGTTTAAATGAAGCATTAATACACATGCTTATTACCCAAGAAAACCATTTTACTGGTGTCACATCTGAGTATAGTCAACAATGCGAGTTCGCCTTCAGACTATGAGTTTACTGCTTTAAACCCTACTGTTCTCCAGCCAACATTCCTGACAAGGTGCAACCAAAAGGAATGAAAGTTCCAGTAAATATAACTCGACTAGTTCTTCGCAATATCCAAGCTCAACCATCACATCAAGGTAGCAGTTACGTCAGTTGAACTGTTATAGAGTATTCTGTTAATCTTATAACTTTCACCTTATACCTTGCAAAGTTAAATTTGTGTGAAAATGTTTATTAATTGAACATTGTTCAAAGTGATATACTTCTATAAATTCTGTAGCATTTTCGGCGTTTTCTCAGTTCACAATCTCGATATTCCTTTAAAATATGTCCTCTTAGTTGTCTATATGTTTTGATATTATCGATGATACATCACTTTCTATAACCGTAATTAGACATGGGAAAATGATGTTGACAATATCTTTAAGCTTAACCTTATTTATTAGTATGAACTGATTGGGAAAGTTGAGTAGTATTTCTCAAAAGTTCACTTGCATTTTTGTAGTAAACGCCTTTGATTATGGTTATTCAAAAAAGCAATCAAATAATTAAGCTCGGAAAATTCAACATAACAATAAAATACATCAGTCTGAGCTACAAATTCCTTTAACGACTATTCGATTTATAATTTTTTTTAGTTGATCTGGATGTTTACGATGATGATTTAAAGAAATACAAAATTATTTATCCATCTTTTATTATTTATAGGGAAGAATGACAAGTGATATGGTGAATCCACCTGATTCAAGAAGGTATTTTCTTATTTTAATTAATTTTTATGTGTCATAAATTGCGCATTAATCGTAACTTTTACTCCCGACATAACTGAATTCTACCATTTATGCCTTCTCACTAGAACTTCAGGGACATCTTGAAGTAAATTACAAATGAACTGATTGAGATCAGCCTTTAACGAACAAACCTACAAATAAAACTAATCTACACTAAACACTCTCGAATGAACTGTAATTATCAGTTCACCAGTGACTTCAAGATGTTACTGAAGTTCTAAAATAAATACTCAACTGGTCAGAAATGTTCAAAAGTGTTGAGAGTGAAACAGTTGTTACTAATGCATTGAATTATCACCACACAATATTACAAATTGATTGAAGTCAGTATTACATTACTGATGAATGAACCAGTAGTTCCAATGATTAAGCGTTCGCCAGTAAACCAAAAGATCGCGGATTCGATAACTGGAGGGGTTAAGAGCATTCACTGCTGATGAGTCCCGACCGAGATTAGTCTGCAACAAATAAGACTTACAAATTAAAATGTTTTCTTTAAAATCGCTTCATTTCTATTGAATCTTCGTTTACTGATGCAGATATTAGGAAACTTACAGTAGGCTGGGTCAATTTATTTTTAATCATGTTACATTTGCCTTTTTCTACACTTCTTTAACAAGTAATTTCAACAGAATTAGAAGTAGCAATAACAACTGAGCCGAGCATAGAGAACTGAGTGCACAAACATCTGGTTTATGCAAGAATAACACAAAAAGTTTGTAGTTTATACTCAGTTAACCGACCGGACAGTTATGTGTTCTGACAGCGTGTCTGATTGCTGAATATTAATTTGAAACAGAACTAATCACTTCTTATAAATCATGTGATCAATAAATACCTGAAATCAGTTAATGATAGTAGATATTCCTACTGGCTAACCCTGAGGGATAAAATTTTCTAAGCATCGGAAGAACATCTCAGAACTGTAAAGACTAAGAGTTTTATTGATGTGTTTGCGTAAACTGAATTCTGAAAACTACAAATAAAGTCCAGGATCCACTGAACAACTTGGTGGATTACTGAACATTACCAGGGATGTGACTTTATGTTCAATTGGGCACTAGTTTCATCATGTATTCAAGTTTATATATTCGAAGACTAATTTGATTGATGGTGACTTCATATTGAAAATGGATTTGGGTTCTGATTGGCTTGAATGTTACTTAAAACATGCTAAGAATGGTAAGTTATTAACCGTTTAGAATGTGATTTTCTGTGAAATGAAAGTAAACTAGCCAGATCAATATATATATAAGAACAGTTCACATCGTCAATGAATTCTGTCTGAGCTAAATGAACGAGTATATTACTAAATCATAGACATTTTCATTTATGAGGACTTTTATCTTCTGATTGTTGATATTAAGGTCTGCAACTGATTAGTTCTTATCGATATATATACATCGTAAACGGATTCCCTCGGTGTTATCATTTTGAAACAAGATCTTTTATTAAGATTGGGCTAAAGTTCCAATGTGTCCATCAAGACTGTAATGCAGGCATTTTCGACTGGTGAGTCTCAAATAAAACAAAATACATATCCTGCGTTTCATTGTTAGCCACTATCCAACTTTAATGGAGATCAGTCTTTTTTTATTGGAACTGTCTTATTGATTAAGTGACCATAATCTTAATCTGTCTGGCTGAATAAATTCCAAAATGTGAATGGTTCATATTTTATTAAGACGCCTTATGAAACATAATTAGTCATTTCTATACTCATATATGTATTTTATAGTTTACAATACGAAGTAACCTTTGATAACCATTGAGAACCAGGAAGCTTTGCTATGTTATTTCATCCTAGCATGAAACTCTTTAGTACTGAACGTCAACGACCATCCTGGTATCTCTACGGAACCTCTATGATAATAATAGTCCCGCGTTCACTGGTAAATAAGTTCAAGAGGTGACTCTCATAATTCTTGTGAGAAGCGGTGGCGAATATGATTCGATCATGTTTAGTGTAAGTTAGTAAACTGTCGATGATATTAGAAGATAGTTTAGCAATATCTTGAATTAATTCATATTAGATATCTAAACCAGGGAATGCCGGATCAGTGGTCTAAATATTATGAGCTGGCCTGGAGACCAGATGGTCCTGAGTTCAACCCCTGATAGAATTGTGGGTGCACACTACTGACGAGTCCCATCGTATAACAATATAGCTGTGCAGCACTTCCTGGTCTTCAATGGCTGTGCAACCAATTTCAATGCACGAATTATACCACAAGCTTCGAAAATTTCTAGAAAACCCCTAGACTGACTAGATTCTGCTCTACTTAATTGGCTCGAGGTAACTGGATAACACCATTATTCCTCATACCTAGAGTGTAACTCATACTCAATTATCTGGCGAAGGACTTAATTTATTTTTGCGAAATTGAAAATTAAACAATAAACGTCAATAATCTCTCTTGAATTAAACCTGGACAATGTAATGGCTGTTACATATATCCTTCAAGATTGCTTTTTAATAAAACAAATTGCCTGTTATATAGTCTTTTTGACAGGAAATATATATGGTAATAGAATGTTATTCCTTCTTTTCATATTTATACTATTTCATCATGACTTGGTTGATGATAATCTTTGAATTTGTTTTTTCCTTGATGTGAAATTTACTCTTTTTTTAGTCTAGATAACATTTCAGTTGAAACGAAAGTTTTATATAAAAATCCAGTTCCATGGGGTCAAATATTTAAATCATCTCCTGTTTGGTCAATTCTAATTTGTCATGTTTGTTTCAATTGGTCTTTTTATTCGTTAATTACGTCTATGCCTACTTATATGTGTCGGGTCTTAGGATTCAGTATGACTGAAGTGAGTCTTAATTTACATTTATATGTTTAGTTACAAATTCAATTTCCATATACCTACTAAGTGTGTTGATGTCAAACGGAATCACTAAAGTTAACTATGTAGGGGTTTAACCTACACTAACAATACTCTTCACTTCCGATTAACCAACAAAACCGATGACCATCAACATTGACAGTGTATCCAAACGCGTATTAGTTCACACAGATTCTTGTATTTACGCAAATTCTTAATAAGAATATGCGAACTGTCAACCGACTTATCTTCTATTATTATGTCTCAAAAACTCACATGATAATATGAAATCAGTTACATAACTACAATACACCATAACAAGAAATTAAAATCTGTGCATTACTAGATCATTTGTGATTCAGAACTGAGTAACAGATGCATAATTAAGAGAAAAACGGTAATTTGTGAGTGGTAAAACTTATGCTAACTTTTGATGAATTAGGTTAAAGTTTACCAGGAGGGTGGTATAAAAATACCGTTAACCAAATACTTATTTGCGGAGTGTTTATAACGGATGCTTTTCAATGAATTTTTGGTAAAAATCACACTTCAATATACATCATTCATACACTAAATGAACTGATTTGTGGATGTAAGTACTGGATTCTACAAACTTATTAAATATTGTAAACTTTGGACGTAACCTCAGTCTATGTTTTATTTGTTGTGAATTTAAATATCTGTAAAATGAAGTTGTAAATGGTATTAAAATAAATAACTTTGATTTAATCATTGATGCATTTCAAAATATCTTATTTCACAGTCAGGGCTTATAGTTAACATCTTGTTCAAGAAATGAAATCTTTGCGTTATCCTCACCAGTGAGATATGATACCATAGGAAAGAATTGCTCAAGCATTTTTGGAATGAAGACTAGTTAATACTTTGATAAGGGATTTTTGATGTGGATTGTTATTTGTTAAGGTTATGCTATATTGGGATAGGATAATTGTCCATGAATTTGTAGCGTATCTGCTTCCAAATATTCAGTATCTGTGCCAATATCTTGCTTCCAGGGCAATGACTGACCCGCATCTATGAGTCGTGCCGTAAAGTCAGTCAGCTCTAATCATGAGCTAACGTGGACGGTTTAGTAAGGACTAGGCTTGTAATGAACTGTAGGATGTATAAATCTTGATTTATGCACTCTTTACATACATGTAACGTATACTTATGACCGCATGAATGTGTGCCTATGTGTTTACTGCAGAATGCATATGTCTTTGATGTGTCTATTCTATGTATACATGTAACTCATACTTACGGCAGTCCCACGTCCCATACCGGTGTATTAATTATAGCTCTAAACGATTTTGGGTGATGAGAAAGTTTAGACTGCAACGTATCCGTCTGCGCTAAAGATATCGATTTCCGTATTCGCACATAAAAAACAGTAGAGTAATCTGTAACGTGTTCGTTTACTTTTCTTTCTTCAGTGCTCAGTTGCAAACCCTTTGTAAAAGCTCTTTTCATTTCTCGAAGAGCCTAATGTTTTCTTCCAATTCATTGGGTGGAAATAACAATATCCGTCTTATTTCCATTTATTTGATATATGGATGCTGCATATAAAATCATGTTTTCACAGAGAATTTCATTTCGTGCGCTAACTTTCACTTTGTCAGTTTTTTTCATCGGATAAGTTAAGATAGGCTACAGTGACGTATTCGTAAAAGCAATATGTAGGTAACTTTAGATGACTGAAATAAAATCTTCAATAAAAATTTCACTTTTATATGTAGCACTAATACATATTAAATAAATGGAAGAACGCTCAGAGGTGCTATATATTGAACTTTTGTTGGACGCCGAAAAAAGGATGGTTGTTTTAACACTATGTTTAATTTTGCATTGTTTTGTTGCACCTATTCATTTTTTGCAAAAGGAAAGATCAATTTATTCATCGTTTTCTTCCCTTGTTTGTCTACGTTATTTAAAAAACAACAATTTTTTTTATTTACATAGAATGGTCTCCTATCATCTATTCCGTATATTGCACAATCTATTGTCAGTTTAATTGCCGCCTATCTGTCAGATTTTTTGATCGCTAAACATTTTTTATCTACCACTTCGGTGCGCAAATTAAATAATGTCATAGGTAAGTAATCATTTCTTGTACCCTGTGTTGATGATGGTAGTGAGAATCAATTGCTGATTGCTAAACAAATAATACTCTTGTTATGTCTGCGAAGTTACTTGACTAACTTATGCTTGGTATTGAAAACTTCGAATCTGACGACACTTAGTGAGAAAAAGAAGATTGTTTGTATAATTTCATTCAATCTTTAATACCAATCAAACTCATATCTGAATACACGAATTTGATATGGTTTCTCATATAATCAGATTAACACTCATATTTGTATAATTTGGACTAAGTGACCAATTGACCAACAACTTATTGCATGAATACATCTGTACAATATCATACAACTAAGCATTCTTTCTCAAAATGTAGTAAAAATAATCGATTTATATGTCATTTGCAACCGAATTAGTTAATTCTTTGCTTGCTATATCAATTGTTGCAGATGATGAAATTATGAAACTTTTGGTTAAATAAGAATACAATCAACCATTAGTATTTTGCTACTCAGAAATTACCACACTTGATTGACTGAGTCAGTTTGAGATTTGCTAATGTTGATTTTAGATATTACTAAACGGGGATTCATAATTATTTGTAAAGGTTTGCATTTTCGAATGGTTAATGTGAAAGAATTCAGCTGATCAATCCATATCGAAATATATACATCGCATCCTGAACGGATTCTCTAGATATTGCCAGTTTACCACAAGTCTACAATAAAGTTGGATAGTGAGCATCAGTGAAATCCAAAACACGTATTTTTTCCTGTTTGGGCCTTTTTGGTTAGATGTTCCTTGATTTTAGTGTCAATGTTCACTCTGAAATTAAGTCCTATTAACTTTCGCTTCAAACCCCAATACATTACACAATAGAGTCGACCATACAATTTATTTCAATGGCACGAGAATCCAACGTAAATGTTTTAGTTCTTAGAAAGAAATATTAATATCTGAAGCACTACACATTTGGACAAATTCAAATAGTATTAATAGGAGCAATGAAATACAATTAGTTGCTCCATGGCAACTAATAATTATTAAGTAAACCTGATCTTCTTATTCTATTTAATACATCGCTTATTAAATGAATAGCAGCAACTGTTCTAATCAGTTGTATTTTCTGAATATGATGAATGATTAATCGGAACAGTAAAACAGACACAAACATTCATTTCTTCAAATTCACTTGATATTGTTTGTTTGAATCTCCCCATTGACGTTTTTAGGACTGCAACTGGTCAGTCTCTTATTGGCATGTGTGCATACTGTGCGTATTGCCTCAATATAGCCTAAATTCACAAGCATTGTAAGCAAAGATAGATAGTGGCTAGCAGTGGTATCCAGGACACGCGGTTCCGTCCTATTCGGGACTCGTCAGCTGAACGAATCTGCATATCAAAGTTGATGTTCACTATGGGACTCGAACCCAGTACCTTTCACTTCAAACGCCATCGTGTTATTCACTCAGCTACTGAGTCCTGATACCCACTTGCTTGTGCAATGGGATGAAGTTTAAATTCACTTAGTATTGTTTGTTTGAATCTTCCCATTGATGTTTAGGACTGCAACTGGTCAGTCTCTAATTGGCATATGTGCATTCCTTCATTTTTATTTTGTTTATTCACCTTCATTTTATGCATGCTGTGACATATTTCCTTCATATCATATACAAATAAATTGTACGTTTTCATAAAAGTCTGCCGATCAGAAGAGATAAATAGTCAATGAAATTTCTTCTCACACCTCAGATCCATTTACACACAGTCTGTCTGTTATCTTAACACACTTCTCGTTACATATCATATGTTTCATACACACTACAACAACTACTTATTTTCAACATTGTTAATATGATTGGATGGCATATTTAGTATACAGTTAACTGAAGAACCAGATACCTATATGTATTCGATAATTTTAATGTTTGATTATATTTCCTTGAACCAGATTGCTGAACAAAACATTGATTTTACTTCAAATCCATTCACTGAGATTTTACAAATATGTTCTTCCTCCTTTAATCCATACATTAGTTTCAGTTTAAACATTAACAATGGAAGGCAGGTACATTCAGTTGATCAGTTCCAAAAAATGGAACTAAACGTAATTGCCTGATCCCACTGTTAGTAACTATTGAAATTAATATGATCTTTGTACTCTTTAAAAGATTAATAATAAGATTCAGCTATCATTCTATATTAACTAATGGTAATTGTTTGGTTAGTTATGAGGCATTCACTCACAAATAACTACTTTTGACGTTCCTTCTAAGAGAGCTGTCGAAACCTGTGAAGTTAACCATATTTTGACTGGGTAAGGTTCAGTATTTCACAAATAAGCTAAATGGTTTAATTATAAAGTTTTCATTACCATTATGGGCAATATCTTCAATATCCACTTCATTGATTAAAACAACGTTCGAGGTAAATAGTTAATTGAATGTGATTCACTGGATTCTGTCTTTGTGGTCTATAGGTATGATGCTTACAATAACATATAATTTGATCCTACTTAGGACTGGGTTTTAGTTGTGTATACTACTGAGGAGGAGTTCGAAATCAAGATGTTACAGTTATCTGACTGGTCATATCTAAAGCGGTTCAAATAAATTATCGTTTCTTTTTTTCAGTAGAATGATAAGCAACTTAGTGTAAATCAGTGGTCTTAATATTTCATTTTCTCTTAATTTAGTAATAATTATTATAAAAACTGTTTATTGAATGATAATTTTAAACTTTTTCTTTCCTCTTTCATTTTCATTTGTTTCGATCAACCTAGCATTGGGTGGCCTTGGTTTAGGTTTAATATCTGTCAGTCTAGTTGGATGTAATCGGATGGCTGCTATTGTTTTATTCTCTGTTACAATTGGTTTAATGGGATTTTCTTTGGCTGGTTATGGATCAAATGCTTTGGATTTAGCCCCAATTTACAATGGTAGTTTACTTTTTTCATTTGTTCTAATTATTTAGGATGAGAGGTTTTTGTTAGTTAGTTTACTTCCATAGGTGTTCGTGTGTGTGTGTGTGTGTACTTCTGGAGAAACATACAAACTTCAGCAAAACAACTATCATCTATTGCTTTTCAGTTTTCACTTGTACCCAAACTAAAATCTATCTGTAATGAATATTACTGTTAATTTGTTTTTGTTGTGTTGGGAAATTTAAGGAAGGTTAAGTTTTCATCACTGGTTATAGAATCATCGGAAACCAGGGATTGATGAGACTAACTAAGGGTTTCATAGTAGTATACAAACAAAACCCTATACGGGATCATACATAAAGATCTTCGATATAATAATAGTGGTATTATGCACCTTTTTTACATTTTATATGTTTATAGGTGTAGAAAGATGAAAACGGATGGTAGTATCATCAGTATATCACACATGGAATAATCTTCAGTTGGCTAAAAACACAGCTTTTACCTCAGGTCAACAGACATTTTATAAAAGAGCAAAAAGCTGTTTCAGTAAAAAAATAGTAATTACAAATTTCAACATCCACTCACAGTAGTTCTTTTACTGTTTGTCGAAGTAATATTGTGTTCTGTGTGGTAATCTCAACGGTATATTATTTCATATTCACAGCATAACTACAAAAATTCATCGAATGAAAGTAGAGGTTTTCAAGATTTAGAGTGGCGAAGATGATAATGAGAAACTATAGAGTTGTTATTAGTAGTGATGGATAAGACAGTGATCGTTAGATGGTGTGTGGTAATCCAATACAATCTGCTGATAATTTTTTACAAGATTGAATTATGCATATAAACCGCACAATTACCAGGTATTAAAGATAATACTAATGGTTAGTTGAATAGATTGTTATGTTTTCAACTGAAACGACGCTACTGTCTACAGAACATCTAACTGTAACATAAGTATAACGTTTGTATAGACTATTGATTGGAATAAGTATATGAAACATGGATGAATTGAATGGGGATAGAAATCAAATGTATAAGAGACTTCACTATTGATTCATTCATTCTTCAGTTGTCTTTTGATTAAAGACAGACGATTACATAAGCCACAGAATTCAACAATCTCCTTAAGCCTTCTGTTCTAATGATAAACCTGTGATCACTATTGACTAAATTCCAGAGGTAATTCAGAAAGGTCTACTAAGCTTAATTAACCGATGATGTTCAATCATGTTGATTGCTTGTCAGTTACAAATGGCATTAAAATATGTCTGCATTATTTCACGAATCGACTGAAGTTAAACATCTTAACCACTCTGTGCTGACTTAGTGGTCTAAATGTAAAGCTCTCACTGAACGGTCTATAGGTCTCGGATTCGATCCCCCTGTGGGGTCATCTCTGGTCACTGCTGACGAATCTCATACTGGGAAGAAATAGCTATTTCGCACTTTGTGGTTCTTAGTAGCTATCTAACTAATATCGATCAGTGATGTAAGTTACAAAATTTATTCATCAAGCCTAAAACTGCCTTCTAATTAAATAACATTAAGATTAGTTAAGTTCATCTATTGTTTATTATTATTAAATGAGAAATCGTATCATTGTCATAGTGTTAAATATCAAAATATGCACTCAAACATTTTTACGAAAGAAGTTTGCACACACACGCTTTCTCTCTCTGAAAACAACCTTCAACTAGTCCATTATATTTGTGGTGAGACTATAATTTATGAAAAACCTTTGAGCGACACCAAAGTGACCTTCAAACAACTCACCTAATTACTAGAGTCAAAGAAGACCAATAAATTAGAGTTAAGATTTCGAGTTATAATTAAAGGTTAGGAATTAAAGTGAGGATTTTCATCATAAACTTGTATCAGTTATAATACTGTATTGCTATTTAACTATATGAATAATATTTTTTTTCTGGTTAACGCTTTTTTAGCGAGTTGGTTTTCTACGGGATGGGGTCGCTAACCGCATGCCTAACCCTCCTCCTTTACCCGTGTTCGGGACCGGCAGTAACCCCCGGAGGTGCTACAGGCGGATACCCGTGATTATCATAGTTTCATCATATTTGTTCATATTTACATGATGAGGATTTGTGTACAAAAAGAGAAACACATTTTCTTTGCCGTTTCCGTATTATGCATGAGTATTGTGTCGATTGATTTTCAGGTAATATAATTTCAGTAACCAATACTGCTGCTACTCTGCCAGGTATTTTTGGACCACTAGTAATCGGTTATGTAACAAGAAATAGTGTAAGTGTATTTATCATCTTTTTTTTGAAAAAAATATGCAATATTTGTTATTTTTATGCTGAACGTAGTTCCGGCTTATGCATTGAGCTTTTAGCAAAAAATTGATTTGTATAGTCTAAATATGATACTACCCGATTCTTTGTATAGAGTGTCAGGTGGTGCGGTCTCAAATCGATAAGTCAGTCATTTTACTAAAAGCTAATTATTTAAACTAATGTGTATTTCAATTGCACTGTATTTTTAATTCATTTTACTTAAATAAGGGGTGAAGATCCGATCATTACTGTGAAAAAAATACAATGTACTAATCACTATCATCATTTTCATTCCTTATTATATAATAGTGATATGGGATTATGGAGAAAACGAGGTCAGAGTATCATTGGGTAATTATAAGTAGAAGAATTATTTATTTGAGTGTCACTTACTCTAGTCATTTTTAAAACTTGAAAAGTTTGTATTAACTGTAAATATTGTTATTATTAGACTTTTGACAGTCTTGATCCTTCCCTTCTATCTAATTGATTGTTCAAACATTAAGAATATGATAATGACTGTAATACTTCACAGTACGTAACAGACATAGTTTTCACTGGAAATCTAAAGTGAAGCGGTAGATAAGTGGTTAAGGTGTTCACTTTTCAGTCACAGGTTCGAATTTTGCTCCGCACAATTCGGTTTGGTCAAATAGGTAGTATAACTAGCATTCAGACGTAAAGTGTAGCTGAAAACCAATTATATGAGTCTGCATTTGGAAATGAGTTACAATAGTTATAGTATGAATCTGAGTAATCACACTTACAGTCTTCAATCAGAGTTAATATAAGGAGAATATTAATAATGAGACTGATAATCTAATTGCATATATTAACATATCGTCTTCGATGAAAGGATTACTCTCTGCTAGAAAATTAATATTTTCTTCTCTATCTATAATAAAATTTTAGAAAAGTATTAAATAATAGGAGATTTAATATCTGTATTGCATTAGTCTATCGCTCTTCAGTTACTTCTACTCACCATGACTTGGTGCCATCACCGAACCAATTAACCTCAGGTTTTACAATGACCATGATATCATTGAATGATTGGATTTGAAACAGCGCATAAGTTTCACTCTACTTACCGTATGACATAACATCATAACTGTTCAATGTCACTTGTCAATAACCGCTTCATTCTCAAAATGATTAGATATTCCATCCGTTAGAGATTTAAAAAAATTATATCGTCGTAAAGTTATTTAATCCCTTATCGATTTTTTTACTTCACTGAATTGCATTTTATTAGTGATCATCAATGCCTTAGTCGCTCCATGGTCAAAGATTATAACATTCTACGTAATTAATCGTTTATTATACATTTTCTATCACGGTTATTCACCTTCTTCTTTCCTCTCTGTCTCTATGCTTTAGTCAAGCATTCACAATTGGATGATTGTTTTCGGTATAGCCGCTGGAATAGCATGGTTTGGTGCACTAATGAATTTATGGTTAACAAGTGGTGAAATTCAACCATGGGGTCGATTAATTTATATAAAAAATACTAATAATAATCCATTGAATAGACAATCTTCAATAACTACTGGTAATACTTCACCAAAATTTCAAAATATTGTTACCAATGAAACTGAGAATCATTAATCTTAGCGAATTCAGTGGTAAATACTATTCATTAAACATTCTCAACTACATGATTTCTGTATTCAATTTTAATTGTATTTTGAATTATTAATGTAAAACATGAGAGAATGATTTGTTTTCTTGAAGAAAGAAGACCTATGGTCAAAATGAGTCTTCCAGTTTCCTTTTTTTTTCTATTATACTTTTATACTTATATCCCTTGACATATTTGTATGTACATAAATCTTATAAATGTAATAGAATTTCATTACAAAAAGATGTTAGTTACTTACAAAATGTCATCATTCACTTTGAAACTCTTAAAATAATGAAGAATTCTCATTTTATAAAACGATAACAAATTGTTATATTGTGTGAACTCATAATATATATGAATGTGCAATTAGAGAGGAGTTAATCTTATTGATCGAACACAAATGATACTTAAAATCGTACGAGCAGTCTTGATTGCGTATCGGCCCTGCTACTGCCTAGCCCAGGCAGTTGAGTCCAGAACACAAATTACAGCCTCGGCAATATGAATCATTATTTACAAACACACTGGGTTTTTATACAAACCAAAGTAATCAATAAACTGATTATAACTCAAGAATCGTATGATATTAAGTCAAAGGTCAAATTAAAGCTAATGATAAGAGAAATACGAATATGAATAGTTCAGTTACGTAATAATTGTACAATAGGAAATAGGCATATTATATTGATCCATAAATAGACCTAAAAATTACCATTCGTAATTCACCGGGGGATATAACACAAATGATGATTACTGATCGGCCGGGCCTATGCTCCATTGGGAGTAACAGGCGTAAGTAAAGCAAAAGTAATACATGATGCTAATTTATAGAAATGTTTGTATGTATCCCTATTTGTCCTGTAATCAATAGAATACCCATTGTTTGATTTTCATGCCACTCTTTTTTTCCTAAATCATAATTCAGTAAAATAATAAACATCTACTAACATCAGTATACTTATTGTCTACAACCAGTTATATATATCTATCTGTATATTGAGTAATTATTTTTGATATTAAGCAGTTGATTCATACTTTTTTTTTAAAAAATCAAGTTTTCCGGATGATTTCAGTTTTGGTATTCATTTCAGTAGTATGTTTTGAATCTTTTATTCATCTGGTTTCTATCAATTTTTATTGATATACTTGCTACTATCTAATATGAATTGGTTATTTTTGATTAAAAAAAATCGTGCACCTTTTATTTTTTGTTAAATCGTTTAAACTACTTATAAAAGTTGGTAGTAGTCTTACAATATATCATAAATAAATAAGATATTTATAATAACCCAATGAGTAGTAAAATTAGATTTTCCGACGTTTCATGACTCAGTGAAAGCCACTTATTCAGAGCATAAATAAACAAATTAAAATTAATCCAAGTTTAAATAGTACAACGGAACAATACAAATATTATGTGATCAATCAAAAGGCAGTTCTGAATAAATCTATGTCATGTTACTTCGGTCAGGGTGATTCATAAGCGACATGTATGTAAATTTGTGTGTGTATATATGTGTACACTGTTAAGGATGAAAAATATATGACTAGGATAGATAGCTCAAGTAAGATGTTTGTTAGGGTCTTCTTTTCTATTAAGAGAAGTAGGATTAAGCATTTCTCTGTAACTGGAAAAACATTTTTGTAACATTTCGATATTTTACTTACTCAGCTTCGTGTACACTACGTCCTATTGCTATATGTCAGGATGGTATCGGTTTTTATAACTTCTAGTGTTATAACCTTGAATAGTCTTACTGAAAAATTATAATCACAGCTTTCACAGTTTTTTAGTCAGAATACAATAACTAAAGAATTGATAAATGTGTTGAACACCCTGTGGAGATGACACATTCAGAAGTTTTGAATAGCTTCAGTCTAAAGACTATTTTTAATTAAAAGGTTTCGCACTATGAAACATGACATTTTGAAATCATTCAACATACATAATCATTATACTTGTTGAGAAGTGATTAGTATTCTGTATGAACTCCAACCAGATAAATATTCCTTAACTTGTACAGTTTTCCACCTGATTTCTTTTCAAAATCGAAGTCCCTTTCTGTCTTGAGAAGAAGGATAGCCTAATCATTTTTTCCCCGACTCCCGATATTATCGTCTCATTTAAGAGTAAATCAGAATATCTTGACCAATGTGATTACATGGGTCAACTGATTATCTATTTAATAATGTAGCTAGATTACATCCATGTTGAAACAAGATGAGTACGTTGGAATGTAAACTTTGGTGACTATTTTTTGGAAGACCAGTATTTATACTTTTAATGTGTATTTATTAAGCATTCGATTTATAAGATTTTTATATTCACCTAATTGTAAGCTTCCATTTGAGTTAGCTGATGTTAAGTCGTTTTACTTTGCAAACTATTCTAAATTAATTCTAAGTATGTTATTCAGATTATACAACGCAAATAACCTCATTCCGGTTATAGTGAACACTGATACTAATCTATATTCTCTGAAAGATATGAGATAAGTGGAAATCAGTATTCGTCTTCGTTGATACTAATTCATTAGACTGTATTTATGATATATACAAGTAAGCCGTGTTGAAACGAATCTCAAACTGCAAGTAATACAGACAAAGTTTGCTGGGATAGAAGTAGGTTGGAAAAAGTTTAGGAGTAACCAAACTAATGTATGATAAGTCTATGACTTTTTTCATCATTTACTTAAGCCTTTTGATCGATAAAGTCTAATTGGTCAAGGTTAGTTCGATAACTATGATAATTAACTGAATATTTTGATTGAAATTGTTCGAAACTGTTCATAATAGTCCAAATGCAATAATTGTTTATCTCCCCTTAGACCTTGAGTCCCATACATTTCCACTCTGTCTCTTTGCTTCCTTATTCTTGATAATTAATCTTTCATATTATTTCAAATACTTTAATATTTGTGTTGTTAACTTATTCTTACCGTGTTATTGTTATAAAACTACTTTTGAAAAGTGTACATCTGTGTCCGACTCTATGTTCATTATACCTTACTGATTAAATCTAAATTATACGCAGTTTTACAAGATATAATGATCAAATTACGATACTGTAAGGATGGCTCGTTGAAAAACTCAAGGAAGCCTCAAGAAGCCGAGAAATAGCCGACAACATTCCATCCAATCAACGCTAGAGGAACATTCAAGAATGTCAACATGTAGCTCCCCTATTGGATGAATAAGAAGGACCCCCTATGTGTTTATTGGCTGTCCGAAATGATGATTTACTTTCAGCTAAAAAACTATAAATACATTAGATTTTTGTACGATATTTGACACTGTTGCGAATTACATTCCTACTTACTAGTCTTCTGTCTTCTCACTTTGCGACTTGGGAGGGTTCTAGCATTCTAGTGCTCAAGTATTACACGACATACTAAGATTTTAAGTTCAAGATATAACAGATACCAACTTGAATTGTTCACTCAACATATAATATGTAATTGTTTATTTTAATTTATATAGCTGAGATCATGAGTCAATTGAAGCTAGACCACCATGGAAAACCTGCAAGCACTGGACGGCCGTTTCGTCTTATTGTGTGACTCCTCAGCAGTGCACATCCACTATCCCGCCTCACAATATTCGAACCTTGGACCTATCAGTCTTGCGCGCGGACACTTAGCCGATAAACCAATGAGCCGGTCGGCATCCAACGGTGTTAATGTCTAACTTCAACCAATCCACGAAATTGAGCAACCATTCATCAACGTCTTCAGTGAGTTGATATATCACAACAGATCTGATTGAACTCAACTGTTCACTGCTTCTCAGGTTTTCCATGGTTGTCTAGATTCAATTGACTCATGATCTTAACTATATAAAATTACTACGATCTTCACAAAACCCCCTTCTGATATTTTAATTTCATTTATTTATCTAATTAAAGTAGAAAACTTGAAAAAAAAACTGATATAGAACTACAATACTGAAAAAGAAAAAAATCCCTGGAAAAAATAAAGTTTTCAATGGGCGGTTCTTTTAAAAAACATTTTTTTGGTTTTTTTTCACAGGAAACAATGTCGACTCATACTTCGTAAATTATAATATAATTGAAAGTATTTTCTTGATAATTGAATAGCTATAAATACAAATAATAAATATAAATGTTATTCATTGACTAGATTGATATATTATAATTCAAACAAACAATACTAAATCAATTTAAACTTCACTCCATTGTACAAGCAAGTAGCTATCAGGACTCAGTGACCGAGTGAATAACGCGATGGTGTTTGAAGCGAAAGGTACTGGGTTCGAGTCCCAGAGTGAATATTAACTTTGAAGTGCATGTACATCCAGCTGACGAGTCCCAAATAGTACGAAACGCGCGTCAAACTGGATTCCACTGCTAGCCCTATCCATCTTTGCTATAAATATAAGATGTGTATTGTTAAGTATTGAAGTCGGCGGCCTATGCTCCATTGGGAGTAACAGGCATAAATAAGTAAGTAATTTAAGTATTGGAATAATAGATTGATCATATGTTATGAAATGAATCAAATTGATTTCAATTAAATGGAAAGATTATGTCTGTTATATCCTAGTGAAGACGTAAGTACAGGTAACTTCCGGGATCTATTAGTTTACTATTATTCTATCTATATTCTTATTGTTTAACTGTCGAGTAATTAGATTGTGTATATCTATATTCATCTTATTGTAAGATTAATTTTGACCTATACATTATAATTATACGAATTACTGTTCCTAAATTATATTCAGTTTATTAATTATTGTCTCCCACAATAACAGCCACATTTGGCTTGATCTTGTACAAATATTATTTTCTATTTTATGGTGTGATGCCGTCTGTCTGTCTGGTATGTAAACCGAGTAAGCTTGGAATAAATGATTCACATAGCAGAATCTGTAATTGGTGTTCTGGATTCCGTTGGAAGGGCTTGGTGGACAAGGAACCAATAAGGGCGGTAGACTGCTTGTACCAGTTGAGCATCATTGATTTGGTACAGTGTTAAGATCGGAAAAGTCGTATACCGATTGGTGAATAACTCATGTGATAAATGTCCAACATAAGATCATAAGGAATGGGTATACGTTTTATTCTTTTATAGTCATAACAGTTTCTTTCAGTTTTTTATAGTTATACAAAATTTTCATTGAAATCCTGAAGTGATTCAAGTTAGATTAAGATTGATAAATTTGAAGTATCAGATGAAAGTTTCATCAATTATGGTCTAATTTAAATTGATTAAACTTTTCAATGAAATTTAATAATCTCTTTACGATCTTGTACCTATGGAGATTGATTAGAAGAATAGTCCTGTAGTCTGTATTGTGTACTGAATTTTGATCTTAGTCAGTTTTTGTGTCAAACAAATCTAGGTCATCCATGTGTTAATTGATATGCTGTGTAAAGCAAAGATACTTTGTGCTTGTATATATATACCGTCATAAGGCATATTTATATGAACCGGATAACAGTGTAACGTGATGGAACACTTCTAATTATTTATTTATTTGAACACATAAATAATGGCACAAGGGGTCACCGAAAACATATGTGGTTCATACGCCTTTTGTTCCCTCAGGATCCTGGAGCCCACATGCACCATTTGATTGGAATCAGGGTTTTCTAACTCCCCTAGGTGAATCCTCCATATCCACTGACCCGGTTAAAGCTCCGGACATTTGCTTTTCATCCTCTCTCAATTTCGTAAACAACACCCGTGCGAGAAGACAGTGAGTTCGACTTTCCTGTCAGAGGCTATATACGCGTGGTCATGTGAGAGCATTTGAAGAGGGAGAGCGGACTCTCCTAACTCTCGGCAGTATCAGGTATTTGGGGGCAAGATTGATAGGTAAATTGGCTTGTCCAGAAGCTAGAATAAGGATATACGGGCTTTAACATATTAACCGACACCACATATTCATGGATAATAATAAAATATTATTACTGCTTACTTGAATGATATTCATCGGATTTGTCATTAGGTAATGGAAATCTTAATGGAATAGGAAAAAAATATTCTGGTTCTACATGTGCATTAAAATGTATTAATTTAGCATTTGGATATTTTAATACAATATCATCATGTAATGCTTTTTCTCTTCTATAATTATCATTATTATTCATTAAAAATTCCCATACAACTGGACAACGTTCACGTATTGAAAATGCACTTAATTGAATATTCCATTTACATGGTAACTCATATAGCCATTGTTTATTTTTATTCAATACAGCATTAATAACATCCTGTAAGAAAAATAAAAAGGGGAAGGGGTAGGAGACAATGAAACTATCATGTGAAAATGATTTCAATATATCACAATTGATTGATCACCGAGTGGTGATCAATGTCATGCGTGTCGAATCCTTCTTAGTGCTGATCGAGTGCTATCGATCAAGTTGCAATGTGGCCACTAGTCTAGGTGGCTCGATACTGCGTGCACTATATATTGAGATAAGATGGTGGTTGGAGGTGGTCAACAGGAAACCCTTGATCACTGAGCTATTCGACTCAGTGGTGACGTCTCTGACTGTGAAGCTGAGTGACACGCGATCAAATCCGTCGGGGAGCACCAGTTCCCTCAAGATTACAGGTACACCTTGCTGACGAGTACCAAGTAGCACAAAACCCGGGTCCAGGGTTTCCTGTTGATCACCTCCAACCGCCATTTTATCTCAATGGTTACAATAAATATTCGACTAGTATATAAAATTGTTACTAGGATATATATATATATATATATATATATATATATATATATATATATATATATATATATATATATATATACACTGTAGTCGAAGTCAATCAAATCCAGTCACCTAGGCAACATATATTCGCCAATATTTGAATGAATCGTTTAACAGAAATTAGTTGCCAAGTATGTGGAAGACATTATTTATGAAAATTATGTTTAAAATAATCGATCTGGTTGAAATGTATTCAATTCGAATGTTCTGTTCAGACAAACGTTTCCAAAATTCTTCAGGGTAATAATGAAATCAAAATAATTTTTATATGTATAAACATGTTATTTTGCTAGAAGTAACCTATTCTTCTGGATAAGGATCTTATCTAGATGTCGGTTTATTTCAGGGCTTACATCAATGATCAGGTTTTGTAAGCGATTATCATTTGGTTATACTGTATAATAACGTATAATCAATCGATAAGAGAAAATCGTCCATTGATGTAAAAATTTTCCAAACATTTTCATAGTTGAAATCATGAGTCAATTGAAGCTAGACCACCGTGGAAAAGCTGGAAGTACTGGATGGCCGTTTCGTCCTATTGTGGGACTCCTCAGCAGTGAGCATCCGTGATCCTACCTTGTCAGATTCGAACCCAGGACTTACCAGTTGGATACCGGCTCGGTGGTCTATCGATTAAGTGCTCGCGCTCGAGACCATGAAAATACTGAAATCTCTACAAAACCCGTTCTGATTTTCCAAACATCTTTTTATTATAACTCTGGAAATCTAACTTCATAACACTGTAGTTAATATTCATGTGTACTAATGAATAAAGAATATACATCTAAGAGGGCTTTTATTGTCTATTCACTGAAAATCTTGTATAATATAAAACTTATCACGATTTCTTGTCACATTCTATAGTTTTTATATTAGATAAATACTAATTAACGATAAGGATGGTGTGGTGCGATAAATCGACTTAGTTTGTTTAAGGCCATACAATTTAGTAATAGTGTGATCTTAACTATTAATACTCATTTATGAAAGCTAACCAATCCAACTGTACGGACAAATGTTCGAGTATACTAAAATAATCAATCGACGATGTGAACCAGTTTAGAGATTTCATGTATTTGTGCTGACATCAGTTTCAAAGTCAAACAGTAAACCTGAGATTAACAACAAGACATGCTATTAAAAGATATCGATTATTAACGCAATCAACATCTCAGCCTGTATTTTCTTGTCTCGGTTAAATAGACCTACGCTCCCGTTTTCTACTTTTAGCTTCCTGAACATTTCTATGTTTTCTAACTCTCCCTAATCGTTGAGCAGTCAAAAAGCTCAAGTATCTACATCTAAATTGAACAATCGTGGAAAGTAACAATACTTTATGTGCTAGTTCACAAACTTGAAAAGCAAATGTGAAAGTGTCACCAATAATTCATTTAATTCAAAGACAATTCTCATAAGAAACTAAATTCAACTGGAGAATCTTTGAATAATCAAATGACATTAGATCATTGTGCGATACTGGGTTATGACTCCTTACTAATTTCCAATCACAGCTGGAAACGAGAATCAAAACAAAGGCCTTCAATTCTAAAAATCTAAACACAACAAACTTTGGCCAAATAAATGGTGTGTGCGTATGGCTGGAAGCTGCCAAAAATTTGCAAATTACCATAAATTAGTGATTTTCTACTGTTCCCTAAATTTGGATATTTTTTTATCAACTAAAATCAATAGTACGATCTATTGCATAATATTCTATTACATTTGGTTTCAATTGATCAAATCATTAGCTTATATTTCATTCAATTAACCTACAGATCAGTACTCGGCCCCTAAATGCCCTGGTACGGCCGAGAGTGGGGAGGGCTCGTCCTCACTGTCGAAATGCTCTCATATAGCCACGCGTATATAGCCTCTGACAAGGAATTTCTACTCACTGCCTTCTCGCACGGGTGTTGTTTACGAAATTGAGAAGACGAAAAGCGAATGTCCGGAGCTTTAACCGGGTTGGTGGACACGGCGAGTCCACCTAGGGGAATTGGAAAACCCTCATTCCAAACTAATAGTGCACATGGGTTCCAGTATTCTGAGGGAACAAATGGCGTATGAATCAATCGTTGGTCACCGGCTACCATGGGACTGCATCTCCTCACGATGCTTCACTGCCACGTGGATCAGACCTTTAGGTCGAAGGCTCCGGGTGTGGACCCCTAAGAAAATCACCATGCTTCAGTTTGGGTACCCGGGTAGTATCGCAGCCCTCAAACAAATCAAATGAGATTTGTGTGGTGCATATGTATCTGGTGCCCCTTAGTATCAACATCTGTGTTTAGATAATAATAAATAGAGATCAATAGTTAATCAAAAACAAACCAATTATTTGATATCTTAGGGGCCACATGATAAGATCGATGTAAGTGTGGGCAGGGAGAGATCGTAAATCAATTACTCACTTGGATTCGATCATCTTTTGGTGACCCTGTATCTGACTCCTGTTAAATCGTACAGTGGTTGTTATCGAAATAAACATGCCACTAACCCTGGTGAATTTTTGAAGACTTAACTCGCTTTAGAGAATAACAGGATAAAATAAGCCAAATACATACATGTGTTTCGCACACTCATTGATCCGGGAAGACAATCAGAGAAACAAATCGAAAGAAGCGAAACTAGACAAAGTGACACACAGCGCAGATGACGAGTGAACCAACCCATTTTGATCAAGTATAACTCAATATTTATATTCAAACAAAAATAAATTACAGACACGTAATGAATAGGGCAAATAGTTAACATACATATGATCACATAGAAGCAGTCAGGGTTATTAGGTGAATAATTGACAAAGTCAAAATGTAGCTTGAGAAGAATTAATTAATTGGTCCGTCCAGAAGCTGGAATAACCTACGTAGGTTTGACATAGTATCAGCCACTACAATGTCACCTATCTATAGTCAACTGAATCATTTTTATTATCGACACATACTCATTTGTTTTACATGGATTCATATGTAACCTTTTACCATCCTATTTGAATAGTCAAGAGTTAAGAGAGACTACAAGATAGTTGAGTGAAACTGAGGTTCATTTGAAAAATCCAATGGACCTCAGAGTTTTACTTTCTTTTTTTCTTAGAATCGCTTACCACACCGCTATTGTTATGAAGTAGAATATTAAGATCATCGCTACTGATGAGACTCATAATAGGAAGAAATGGCCGTTCAGTGCTTCCAGGTTTTCCACGGTGGTCTAGCTTCAATTGACTCATGATCTCAACAATTAAAAACCTTAATTAATAGTTGAACTTATTAGTCCATTTAACTTGCGACACCGGGGAAAACCCGGAAGCACTCAACTGCCGTTTCGTTCTAGTATGGGACTCCTCAACAAGGCGCACTCACGATCCCCTCGCGGTATTCGAACACAGGACCTATCGGTCTCGCACGTGAACGTTTAACCTCTGAGAGCATTTTGCCGGTCTCACACGCGAGACCAAAGGTCCTGGGTTCGAATAACGAGAGCGAGATCGTGGGTGTGCATTACTGAGGAGTCCCATACTAGGATGAAAAGGCCATCCAGTGCTTCCAGGTTTTCCATAGTGGTCTAGCTTCAATTGACTCATGATTTGAACTATAAGATTACTATAATCTCCACAAAACTTCCTTCTGAATTAACATAGAAAAACAAAAGACAACACGTCTATAGCTAGTTTTCATGAATAACTAATTAATTAATCTATTGCTTACTTGTTCACCGGTTGGTAAAATTCGTTTTTCTTCAATTAAATTAAATGCAGTTTTCATCCAAATTTCATCCCAACCTCTTGCACGTAATTTAGTTAAATGAATTAATAGAATACCAGAATTATAACCGTAACCCTTGATTATTTCATTGTTGTAAGTTGTTTTTCCCCAGAAATGTTAGTGAAAAGGAAACATAAAGAATTAATTAAAAATTATTCATGCTTACATAAAACAAATTAGATTAGTAGCTTAATCAATCAACTCAATCAATCAGTATAGTGGTTATAGAGATTATTCTATTTGAATAAGATCATGAAAAGTTTAAGTTAAATAACCATAGAGAATTTGGAGTTTTGCTCTAGTATATGGCTTTGCAGAAGTGAGCATTCAAGATCTTAGATCTCTTTTGAGAACACTTATATAAGACTAGTATACTATTAGATCATGATTAGACGGTCTAGAGATTAGGCGTTTACATTTGATACTAAAGGTGTTGAGTTTATTCCCAAGTGACGGAACAGTGAGTGTATACTGTTAAAATGTCCCGTACTAGGACAAAAAGAAACTTCGCCTGTATCCCTTCGGAGGCTACTGCCAGTCCCAAGCCTGGATAAAGAATGAGGGTTGAGCATGGGGTTAGCGATCCCATCCCATAGAAAACTAACTCGCTAAAAAATCTCTAACCAGAATAAATTATTCAAGCCATTAAAACTCTGCCCCGGGAGTCGGAAGTTCTTCATTTAGAAGAGTTATGACGCCTCATGGTGAAAGCCAAGTTCCTTCGGAAGTCACGAGGTTGATGTCCCTTCTAACAACCAGAACAACAATTTTTTTAAGTACATGGAACTGATGTGTGGGCGAGAATGTCAATGATTGGTTGTCTCGATGAGTCAGACATTAGAGGGGATGACAGGTGTTATGTGTTATATATATATTTCCCTATCCTTATTATGTATGACTTATTGACTGTTCATGTGTCGGATTTTGGTGTGAAATATATTGACGTTATAGTCAGGCTAATATTGTGTTCTTGATCTGAGTTCTGTTGAAGTCCTGTAGAATAGACACTGGGTGGGAATCTAGTGTAGATATTCGTCTAAGATAAATTAACGTCCCACATACGTGTAAGAAGTAAAAGGACTGTTATAACCAGAAACCCCTAAAGTTATAACCAGCATCCTCTCTCTCTCTCATACGTTTATAACAATTGGCGACGGCATACATACGTTTATAACATTGGCGACGGTGATTAAAACGGATCTACGCTTACGTATTCAGTTAAAGTGAATTTTGTATCAAGAAAATGGATGATCTGAAAACCTTATTGCAACAGCAAAATACTCTTATCGAATTATTAGTCAAAAATATGTCGATATCCTCAAGAACTGATGTGTCTAATTCCACTATGACTCCGGATTCTATTGCAAATTCAATAACTGAATTTAGATTTGATCCAGAAAGTGGAGTTACTTTTGAGGCGTGGTTTAAACGCCATGAGGATTTATTTATTAATGAATGTAAAGAGTGGGACGAAAGTTCAAAATTGAGATTATTATTACGAAAGCTCGGAGTGTCCGAACATGAAAAATTCTGTAATTTTATCCTCCCAAAGAAGCCATCCGACATAACGTTCAAAGAAACAGTTGAATGCCTGACTCGTATATTTGGTGAACGGTCATCAATTTTTCACACTAGATACCAGTGTCTTCAACTTGTAAAGAAAGTACAGGACGATTACGTAACGTATGCAAGTATCGTGAACCGGGAATGTGAGCGGTTCCAATTACAGGAAATGTCCTCAGATCAGTTCAAGTGCCTTATTTTTGTATGTGGATTACAATCTTCAGTAGATGCAGATATTAGAGCACGGATTCTAATGAGAATCGAACAAGATCCTAATATCAGTCTACAATCAGTATCTGAAGTGTCAAAGAATGGTTAATTTGAAGCATGACACGAAACTCGTAGAAAGGAACAGTGAACACGTTGCAGTTAATGCTTTACGTAAATCTTTTAAAGGAAATAAAGATTCGAACTCCCAGAAAATCCGGAATCAAGTGAAACACAAAACGTCATGTTGGCGATGTGGTAAGTGTCATTCTGCCAATGTTTGCTATTTTAAAAAACGAGTATGCTTTCAATGTGGTAAATATGGTCATGCTCAAGTATGTTGTAAAAGTAGGCCGAAGGTTTCTGACCGTGAGCATAAGTTCCGTAAACGAAATAAGATGCAGACTTCAAAATCAATACCGCATAACTCAAATGTTGTTCTGGCTACAAAAAGTGAGCTTTTCTCCTCTAAAAGGAAGTATGTAACCATTTTTTTCGATGGCAAACCGGTCAAACTACAAGTCGATACTGGGTCTGACATAACATTAATTTCTAGAGAAACTTGGATTAAAATTGGTCGACCCCGATATCAACCTACATGTTATAATGCCAAGAGTGCATCAGGAACTAATATTACTCTTCTTGGAGTAATACAGCTACCTCTCACGTTTGGTGAAAAAACTATGACCGGGAAATGTTACGTATCCGGGAACTGTCATACCAATCTATTAGGTATTGATTGGATTGATAAATTTGGTTTGTGGGATTTACCGTTGAATGTGCCGACAGCAGAATCCCAGTCATGGCCTGAAACGAAAAAACCTTGGATCCGACTACATGTTGATTATGCTGGACCTATAAGTGGACAAACAGAATGGAATCGAGCACGTTAGAACTCCACCGTATCACCCTAAGTCGAACGGGCAGGCAGAGAAATTTGTTGATATTCTTAAACGAGCTCTTTTAAAGATGGGAGGAGAAGGCAACGTAGAAGAGGCTCTGCAACAATTTCTCATTTCCTATAGAATTACGCCAAGTCCAAACTGTCAAGATGGGAAATCTCCAGCCGAAATAATGTTTGGCCGACCGATTAGAACATTTTTTGATGTTTTGAACCCGAAAGACAGAATCAGTGGACTACAAAAAAATAACAAAGGGAATTGCCCGAAAATTCGAGAATTCAAAGTAGGTGACTCAGTCTATGCACGGGATTTCCGGCCTGGCAAGCCAAAATGGATATTTGGGTTTATAAAAAAACGACGTGGTACAGTATTATATGAAGTGATGGTCGAAAATACACTAATTATTAGACATGTAAATCAACTGCGAGATAGAAAATATGTTTATGAGTCATCTAAACTCAAACCATTACCAATGGAAGTATTATGTGATACATTTGATATTCCACCACCACCACCACAAGTTGAAATGAGAAAAAATGATCTAGAATCAGAAGTTAGACGAAGGTCATTCAGGGAACGGAAACAAACGAAATTTTTTCAAATAGACCCCAAAGTGAAATCATACGAACGAACTTCGCGAGGGAGGTGATGTGTGGGCGAGAATGTCAATGATTGGTTGTCTCGATGAGTCAGACATTAGAGGGGATGACAGGTGTTATGTGTTATATATATATTTCCCTATCCTTATTATGTATGACTTATTGACTGTTCATGTGTCGGATTTTGGTGTGAAATATATTGACGTTATAGTCAGGCTAATATTGTGTTCTTGATCTGAGTTCTGTTGAAGTCCTGTAGAATAGACACTGGGTGGGAATCTAGTGTAGATATTCGTCTAAGATAAATTAACGTCCCACATACGTGTAAGAAGTAAAAGGACTGTTATAACCAGAAACCCCTAAAGTTATAACCAGCATCCTCTCTCTCTCTCATACGTTTATAACAATTGGCGACGGCATACATACGTTTATAACAGGAACGTCCGGACAATGTGGGAAACCGGGAGAGTCTTCCAAATTGCTGCAGAAATGAGGAAATACAACCTGGAGGTGCTTGGGATCAGTGAAATACATTGGACGCATGATGGATAACAACTACTGTCTTCAAAGGAGCTGCTGTTATACTCACGCCATGAAGAAGAAAATGCCCCACATACACAAGGAGTGGCATTGATGCTGTCCAAACAAGCACGAAATGCACTTATAGGATGGGAATCTCATGGATCAAGGATCATCAAAGCTTTTTTCAAAACAAAGGCAAGGTTGCTTACTCTCAACCTTTCTCTTTGTCCTGGTGATCGACTAGATCATGAAGACATCAACAACTGGAGGGAAGCACGGGATACAACGGACATCTATGATGCAGCTGGACGATTTAAACTTTGCAAATACAAATGCAGGAAAAAACGACCAGTGTAGCAGCCGCCTCAGCAGCTTTAGGTCTCAATATAAACAAAGGGAAAAGAAAAACTCTCCGATACAATACAGCATGCACCAATCGAGTTACACTTGACAGAGAAGCTTTGAAGGATGTGAAAACATTTACATATCTGGGGAGCATCATTCATAAACACGGTGGATCTGATGTAGATGTGAAGGTGCGAATCGGCGAAGCAAGAGCAGCATATTTACAATCGAAGAACATCTGGAACTCAAAACAATTGTTAACCAACACTTAAGTCAGAATTTTTGGTACAAATGTCAACACAGTTCTATTGTATGGAGTGGAAACCTGGAGAACTACAAAGACCATCATACAGAAGATACAGGTGTTTATTAACAGTTGTCTACGCAAGATACTTCGGATCCAATGGCCAGACACTATCAACAACAATCTACTGTGGGAGAGAAAAAAACAGATCTCAGCGGAGGAAGAAATCAGGAAGAAGCGCTGAAAGTGGATAGGACACACATTGAGGAAATCACCCAATTACGTCACAAGAAAAGCCCTCAGACGAAATCCTGAAGGCCAAAGGAGGTGAGGAAGACCAAAGAACACATTACTTCGAAAAATGGAGACAGACATTAGAAGAATGAACAAAATTGGATAAAACTATAAAAGAAGATCCAGGACAGAGTGGGTTGCAGAATGCTGGTCGGCAACCTATGCTCTATTGGGGGTAACAGGCATAAGTAAGTAAGTAAGAAAGTAAAGACACAACAACCGTCTAGTGCTTCCATGTTTTCGATGGTTATCAATCTTTAAAGGATTAGGTTAAGTTTTTGATTATTGGCATGAATGTAATATGAAATTTTTACAAGGATTATAAATTATTTGATGTATTCTGCGATAGAGAATACCATCCTCTGCTGACATGTTTCTGAATAGGGTAAAACAATCACGCGATGCTTTTTATAGTCAATATAAATGTATTAGAAACTACCTCTCACATACATAAACATACATCTATGCAAATGCAATGGATATAGACGTTTGCCTGAAAATAGATCTTGTGATAACGGTACCACTACCCAACATCATTTTTTTATTATAATAAGTATAAATCAGTTTATTATTTTGGTTTCTATTATAACTTGTGACCTCGTACCCTATTATTATATAACCAACCGAACCAATAACGCATAAACCTGTACGAACAGTCTAGAGTCCTTCTCGGTTCTTCCTCCTCCCTAGACCTACCTGTTTAGCCTAGAACACCAATCACAGCCACTGCGATATGAATCATGTATTTCAAACGTACAAACTAAACAGACCACATCACACTATAAAATAGAAAACAACATTTGTACAAAATCTATCTCAAAGTGGCTGTGAATGTGAGAGACTATAATTACTAAACCGGGCATAACTTAAGAACGATCAATCGTATAATAATAGTCTATAGGTCAAAATAAAGTTTATAATAATAAGAATATGAATATACACAGTTAAGTTACCTAGCAACTACACGACAGAAATATATATTAGACCATTAATAAATCCCAACAGTTAGCATTCATTATTCTCGTCGTGGTATATCAGTTTCAAACTGCCTACAGTTTTCCGTATAACAAGTTTTATTCAGTATTTACATTGAAATTAACAATTAATGACTTCTTACACAATACTAAGTATAAAATCTCTCCGAAAAGTATTTATAATTAACCAATCTGAATCAATGATTGTACAAGTGAACACACTGTTCTACTATCACTAACTAGAAAACAAGAACTCAAATGGTGACAACCAATCAATTGCTTAGTTGCTTAGTTCTTTTATAAAATGTGAAACGATACATTAAGACCTATCATTTGCAAATCCTCCATCAATTGTCTCAAATTTCATCGTTCCTTTGTTGCTACTACAACTACTCCTTGTTCAAATTCCCGTTCTCTTTGATTTGATCTCCTCAACCGTCTGCTGCCAGACATTCCACTTCTGATTATGTCTGTTGACGTAAGTAGCATACATAACAATAATATATATATAAAAGGAAGTGAACAGATCAGCTTTTATGAAGAAAATGTTAGTTTAATTAGTTTAAATATAATTTCATATGTATCGATCCATGATGACTAGTACTGTGAACACTTACAAAGTCAAATTCCTGTTCATTAACAAAAACTACTACTAATATGGAAAGGTTGAAATTAGACAGTAACACCGTTAGATGCCGGCTCAATGGTCTAGAGGTTAAGCATACGCGCACGAGATCGATGGTTCTGGCTCCAAATCTTGCGGGGCGGGATCGTGGATGCGGGCCGCTCGGGAGTTCCATACTAGGATGAAACGGCCATCCAGTGCTTCCAGAATATCCATGGTGATCTAGCTTCAATTGATTGATGAATCCAACTATCAAATTACTACTAATGTACAAATCGTGAACGTCTAAGTACTTATATTTCATATTCTACGGTTGACTTGAGTCAATTTCAATGATGATGAGTAGCTTTATCACAAGACAATATTCAATACAAGTAGATAATAAAGAAACAATCACTGAAAAGTATTGCATAATAATTAGTTATTCATATTTATATGTTTATCGCAACTGATTAGTTGAACACATTATATATTCACGAATCTCTCGGTGAATAGATCAATTCCTGTATTATGTAGAACAATCCAAATTCATTTCACCATATTGTGCCCAACAAGACACAATTATTTACAGTTGAAACCGAGTCATTTGAAGCTAGATCACCATGGAAAACCTGGAAGCACTGAACGGCCGTTTCGTCCTATTGTGGGACTCCTCAGCAGTGCACATCCGCGATCCCGCCTCTCGAGATTCGAACCCAGGACCTTCGAGTTTTGTGAGCGACCACTTACCCGATAGACCACTGAGCCGGCATCCAACGGTAGTAATGTCTAACTTCAATCAATCCACGAAGTTGAGCAACCATTTCACCAATGTCTTCATTGAGTTGATATCTCCCAACAGACCTGGTTGGGTTAATAAATAAATTCTTATTCCCATTTACGATAAATTTAACGTCAAAAATATACATATATACATCTATATATTCACTTTATAATCAAACCTACAAACGTTCATCCAATAAAAAAATCCAGACTTACCAATGCTGGCCAAAATCTTTGTCCCATTTTACTGTAGAAAGTTGGATTCTGTTCTGCAGCAATACCGATACACTGTGAAATTATTTAAAAGTGGACAGTTTTCAAATTGTCTTGTATGCACAAGAATGAGGAGATGAAACAAACTTTAATGAACTATTTTAATTGTTAAAAACATTCTGATTATCAGTAATGATCAGTTTGAATCAGTAGCCTTGTAACAATAAGTAAATCCTGAAAAATACATAATTCAGTAGATGTTCAAAGTATGGTTCCAAGGTTTTTCAGTTTTAATGAACCGAAATACTTGAAAATAGAATAATAAACTATAGTGAGCTTTGGCATCTTGTCATACGCATCATGTTGATGGGACCAGTTCTTCAGCTAGTCTGCTGAAACATTTCTCTCTCTCTCTTTGTTTAACTTTAACCTAAAGCTCACTTGAGTGCTTTCTTGACTACGATTGATTAAGTGATCACGAACTATTGAGATGAGATACATTGAGAATTCGCTATTAGCATTACTGAGATTTGCTGAGATGGAACTTTTGAGGCTATAATGATCCTATGAAGTGTATTTAATATTATATAACATATCCTAAGGGTTTTAACTATGAACTATCTATGATTCATTATTAGCTATTAAATTTGTTTGTTAACAAACTTAGTTCTTAACATGTTTTTAAATTGAGTATCACAAAACGTTCTCAAATTCTTGTGATATGTGGTAGTAAGAGTAGAATGTTATTGGTCACTGAGGATGGACAAACAGGCACTTATTCTACCGACTATTACTTTGTGATTCCCCTTCCTGTCATTGATTTCTACTCCGAACTAACTTAGAGTGACAGGTTGTTATTGTGTAGAATAAAGTATCATCTGCATTTACTATGGTTATTTATTCTTGGTTATGAATAGTTTATATGATATAACATGAACTAGTCTCTGTATTGTGTACCGTTCAAGTATCCAACCTAACGTAGTGTAGTATACGATGAGAGAGAAAGAAGACTATTTTAAACCATTCGTTATATCAACTTGTCAACATTTGGTAAATGAAGTCAGAATGGAATATGTATACAGTACAATTTAACTGTTAATTTCCATTGTCTTCTTTATAAAGTAAAAAAAAATGATCACTCTGTATGATTTTATTATTTTCTCATTTCAATTTGACATGATCCCTACGGAATAGAAGTTGGTGAATAGGTTTGAATAGTCATTGAAATGATCTCCATTTAACAATTATCTATAATTGTATACTGCTAAGTGTCTTGATCTAAATATATTTGAAATTTAACAAAAAGATAAAACAATTAATTGTAAAGAAATTTACTGTTACAAAAAAATTATTATGATCAGTGGAGTTCAATTCGTGTCGCATAGAGACAGGTATCTACCTGAGACAATGGATGAATAGTTGCGCAGCTATTCATGGATCGATGGAAGTTAGACATTAACACCGTTAAATGTTGCCTCGGTGGTCTAAAGGTTAAGCGTTCACGCGCGAGACAGAAGGTCCTGTATTCGAATACCGTAGGTTAGCGCTTTTGAGTAGTACCATTCAACTAGGTTTTGCATGGCGTTCTAGCTTACATCGACTCATGAATTCAGCTATTAAAATTACTTCAAATAAGATCATGCTAATGGTTAAGTTATTCTTACTTGATCCTTGTTGAACTCATCAAATAAGCTCCATAGATTTGATATATCATCATTCAATAACATATCTGTATCCAGTACAATAACCTAATTTTTTTTAAAAAGAATATACGAAGTAAAATGATTTTGGATAACACTCAGTACTGAAATGAAGAATTAGTTTGCCGTAATATTTTAAAAACAGATTGCTTGAAATTCACTTATTATTGTTTGTTTTGAATCTTCCCATTGATGTTTAGAACTGCAACTGGTCAGTCTATAATTAGCATATGGATAACACGTTGGCGTTTGAAGCAAAAGGTACTGGGTTCGAGTCTCAGAGTGAACATCAATTCTGAGATGCAAGTACATCCAGCTGACGAGTCCCAAATAGGACGAAACGCGCGTCCTGGATTCTTTTGCTAGTCACTATCCATCTTAGATTACTTGAAAGTTTCTAGATTATTAAAAGTAAATTTTTTCTGTTAGGACTTTTTATTTATTACAATATTATGACAAATCAAAGAATGATCAACAGTTGTTTCATTGGAGAAGCTAAAACTCTTAAATTATGAACAGCCAAAAACCTAAATAAGATCAAAATATGAACATTTAAGTTTTGGGGATAGAATAATAAGTGAGTTTAATATCATCAGTAGGTAACTGCTTCAGTCAGGACTTGATCAAGTACACAACTTTTTTGTTATTCGTTACATGATTAATTATTGTTGTATTTGTAAGGTGATTGGTGATGGAGAAAAATAAGCATGGCGACTATAGTTATATCAACTTAGAAACGAACATATTCCACGGTATACAAGTGGAACTGGGAGGAATAATTTTAAAGCTGGTAATTTATCAAATTGTCATATTTAAACGAAAGATTGATGCGTTATGTTGGCTTCTGTTGATTCGTTGTTTGACTTTAAATGGAATTCTAAAAATCTCATAACTCACTGGTTTAAGATATGCAATCAAACAGGTTTCAAAATGGAAGTCATTTGAGATTCCACTGTAATTTCCCGAGATGTCTTTCACAAACAATAGAATTTTTTGTATAACTAATTAAAATCTATCTTGGTTTCGTTCTTGATGAGTCATTCTTTTTTGTCGACATTATCAACTGCTTGTATAGTCTTTTCTTTTCTAATCCTGTGTAATATTGTCATTTAGTTTTGTGTGGTCAACTTTCAGACAACCTATTGTACCGGACTCATAAGTAAATAAACAAGGTAATGATGGTTACAATCAGAACTTCTGACACCGATATCGGGTTATTCAGGATAGTTGTCACATTGCTATTCGATCGACAGAATTCGATCAACATTAAGAAGGACATGGTATACATGACGCTGATCGCTACTTAATGATCAATAGATTGTAAATACATCTCAGTCCTACATGAGGTCAGTCATGGCTCAAATAACAAAGTGTTCACATCCCTGACCGTGAATCTGGATGAGACGGTATCATGTCCTCCAGGGGAAATCGATTTACTCAAGCTTAAAGATACACTTCTGAAAAGTACCAAAGACTACAAAACCAAGGTCCAGACTTTTCTGTACTCTGCCTCTAACCACCACCTTACATCCGACTTGATCAGAAACGACATGTCATATATAGTTCATTTCCTTCAGTTTTACAGAGTAATTCATAAAATAACTATGATATTCGTTGTTCTACCACAGCCAATTTGGTGGAAATTGTGAAAATTTTAGTTGCAATGAAAAACGCATAGCACGTTTTCCATATGAATAAAATTGGTATTAAAATGAAGGAAAAAAGGTTTACTGATTTAAATTTTTTATATATTTTGGAGATCGTAGGTTTTAATAAAGTTATATTTCTACAATTTTGTGTCTTTCGAGGCGGTCTATCAGTGCGTTACCTCCAGGAAACTTGTTAATTAATTTTTATAGGTTTCAAAAATCACTTGGGATCAACAAACTGCACCTGGAGCCCTTCTAAGATTACTAACAATCTGAAGACAGGATAAAAGAAGGTGGATCGGATATGGGATTGATAACCTGACTCCGTACAAACAGGGTTTGTCAAAGACTCTGACCGAAAAAATCATTTTAACCATTTAAACTATCCTGGGAGTTGTAAGGTCTTCATTTAGAGGAGCTATGACGCCTCATGGTGTAAGCTCAGACTCTTTTCAAGTCACGATGCCAGTGCGCTCTCTTACAACCAGAGCAATAATTAACAGAGGTCTGGGAAGTGCCCACACAATGAAGGACACAGTGAAGACTATTCAGGTAGCTGAAGAAATGAAAAGACACAACCTGCCAGTGTTTGGAATAAATGAAACTAATTGCACGCAAGCTGGACAGAAAAGATTAGCTTCAGAAGAGATACTGTTGTACTCTGGTCATGAAGAAGAAAACCCTTCGTAGACACAAAGAGTTGTGCTGATGCTGTCCAAAGAAGCACGCAAATCACTTATAGGATGGGGATCTCATGGATCCAGGATTATCAAAGCTTTATTCAAAGCAAAGAAGAAGGGGATTATGATGAATGTTATTCAATGTTATGCACCACAAATGATAGCAACGAAAATGACGAAGACCAATTTTATGGAAGGGTGCAGTTGATCGTCAGCACTACATAATTTAAACGACACACTACACTGCAAAGTTGTGGATAGAGGACAGCTCACAGATGCATTCCTCTTGAGGATCTGAGTCAGACAAAACTGCTTAGTCTCGCCCTTTCTCTTTCTTCTGGTGCTCGACTGGATCATTAAGGCGTACACATCTCAATGAAAGCACAAAATACAATGGATAGTTCGGAATCGACTAGACGATTTGGAGATCGCAAATAACCTACCTCTCCTATCCCATACACACCAACAAATTCAAATGAAGACAGCCAATGTAACAGAAGCCTCTGCATCAGCAGGTCTCAACGTACACAAGGGATAAGGCAAGATCCTCTACCATAACACGGAAAACACCCAAACAATCACACTTGATGGAGAAACTGTGGAAGATGTGAAATCATTCACGTACCCGGTCAGCATCATTGATAAACAAGGAGGATCTGATGTAGATGTGAAGGAAAGGACTGTCAAATCAAGGACATCATTCCTACAGTTGAACAACGCACGGAACTTAGAATAACTGTCGATCAGTATGAAAGTTAGAATCTAACTGTACGGAGCTAAAACTTCGAGAGCTACCACAACCATCATCACAGAGGTACAAGTATTTACAAACAGTTTTCTGCGCAAGGTACTGAATATCCATTGACCAGATACCATCAGCAACAGCCTACTATGGTAGAGAACAAAATGACTTCGAGCTAGAGAAGAAGTTAGGAAAAGACACTGGAGGAGGATAGGACATGCATTACGGAAAGCATCACGGAGCAAGCTCTAACTTGGAATTTTGAAAGCAGGAGTAAAAGTGGCTAAGTCAAGGACACATTACGTCGAGAATCGGAGGCAGACATCAAAAGAATGAATATCGATTAAGAAGAAATATAAAGGAGGTCTGAGGACAAACTTGGTTAGAGATTGCTGATCAGAAGCCTGTTCTGTACAGGAGGTAACAGGAGTAAGTAATCAAGTATATTACCGCATAAGAAACATGGGAACACAGCATGGTCGTCTCATTTTAGAATGGGACTGTTCAGAAGTGTGCACTCATGGCACTCTAACGAAGCTTCTAATTTGACGTAGTACAGTGGCTCACCCATCATGACAATCAAACAAAGCTCAAATGGTCTCAACATTTGTTTCTTGAAAATGTTAACCTGTCATGCAGATCGTTTGTAGATATGTATAGCTGAAAATGATCAATTTCAAATCAGAAGACTGACTAATATGAACGGTTGTGGCTAATAACAGATTCCATTATTTTCAGAGTAGCTTATTTGCTAAATAAAATCTGGTCACTAGTAAACATAATAAAAATTTCCTTCTACAGATTTATCTTTCTATTTACAAGGTTTCAAAGTAAGAGGCCAGTGTAACCTCAAATTATTATTTATATTGTTCATCGTTAAAGGTTATGAGTTTTTTAAATATAAGGTATACTTTTTTCCATTTGTACAATAGTCGAATCTATTCGATACTGTTATGTACAAAGAAGACCAAATGAATGGTATAAGTTCCAGGACTAATTTATGGACTATTGTAATATACATATTCTTATTGTATAATTATAGAGCAACTAGATTACCATGTTTTTATTCCTTTTATTATGAGCTTTTGCTTGACTCATTAACTACTGTTATATGATTTACTGTTCCTAATGTGTTACCAATCTACTCCTCACATCTTCCCTTATTTAGACCAACTTTCTAGCTTGATAATGTACTATTGTTATGGTATCTCTGTATATAAACTAATTATCTTTGAAATATAATATTCATATAGTAGAAGCTGATTACTATTATTCCAGTCTAAACGGAGAGCTCAAAGAAAGAAACTAGAGAATCGTAAGGCAATCAGATGTCAACTGGCTATCCAAGGTCATTGGTGCTGAAAAGATTCTGGTTAGTGTTTTTATCACATCATAATGGTCAGTGACTATAAGTCATAGCAGACATAACAATAAAATAACTGAAACAACAGAGAGGACTGTCATATATCTCTGAAATCATAAATACTAATAATTTTTTAAAAAAAATAATGTGCATAAACCATTAGCTTACTTTCCTGATTTCATTAGGTAAAATTTGTGTAATTAATAACTTGAGATAATTTTTATGTCCAGTGGGATGTGAAGATTTAAATGATTTGATCCGTTCCTAATAAAAAGAATAGTAAAATAAGTGATAATCCATGTGTAGTCTAAAACAATAATCATCAAAATAAGTATCTTAAATCAGATCGATTAATGCATATATATGTAATAAAGCACCAAGGATCCACTCTTTGCTCACCTTTTCGTACACCATCTTTCTCACGAATTAATATTCAGTAGATTATGGGTATCAGTATCAAGGATGGATTTGATAGTTTCAAATAAATTGAGCATCGGGTAAAGAGTTAGTAATAAAAATATTTATTTTGTTGTATCCTGAAATTGTATTTCTGACGTTTCGTAACTTGATGTAAGTCACTTCTTTAGAGTTAACAAATAATCGGTTATTTATTAACTCCGAAGAAATGACTTACATCAAGTTGCGAAACGTCGGAAATACAATTTTCTCTACTCATTTAGATGCAACAAAAAATATTTTTATTATTTAGTAGATTATGTTATTATCATTTATTTTTGAGAACTTATGGGTAAAATAAGCAAAGATGGATAGTGACTTGCATCTATCTATCTTTGCTTGCCATGCTTGTAAATTAAGGCTATATCGAGGTAATACGCATAGTATGCACATATGCCAATAAGAGACTGACCAGTTGCAGTTTTGAATATCAACGGGAAGATTCAAACAAACATTACTAAGTGTATTTATAGGTAGAATGTTTTCACGTCGTAATGAACTACCAGTCTTGAAAATATCTAAAGTTTAGCACTTTATTCCAGTTCTTTTTCTCACTTGCAATACTGTTTCTTTTATCCTTTTGTTATTTAATTCTGTATTGTCTGCATTAATCATTAAGATTACGAATTCTGAATGGTTTGATATATATTTCTCTAATAGATAGTACCTTTTTGACTCAGCAGTATTCTAGTCGTTAATTTATATTGTGTGTTGTAATTTATTCCTTGTGTAATTATTTCAAACAAATGGTTTCTTTCTGATTGCATCTCTGACAGAGCCTCTAAAATACAAATAACTCATGTTGTGTTTTTTTTAGTGGTATAGTATTCTTTAGAAAAGTCCCGTGTTGGACATCATGATTTCAAGCAAAACTCAACGGTGGGGTCGGAATCTTCAAAAGAAACTAATATGTGGGTGAGGATAATAATGATTGATTGCTTGCTTAGTCAGATTAGTAGATAGTCTGACAGATTTTAGATGAGTTGTTTATTCTTCTACCCTTATTACTAGTGTGATTGTTTTCGGTTTTTGGTGTGGAAATACACTTACGTTCTAGTCAGGCTAGTCAGGTGTTCTTGATCTGAGTTTTGCTGAAGTCCTGCAGAACAGACCCTGGAAGAGTGTCGAGTTTAGATATATGTCTAAGGCAAGTTATCGCCCATTCGTGTAGACGAGGAAAACAGAGTGTTATAGCAGAAACCTTCACCGTTTCTGTGTTTAATGGCATTATTTTGGTTTATAGCTTACTAAATATGGCACATAGTTCCTGGCATCTAAAGTTAGTAAGAAAAACTACTAAAGGAACTGAGACTCATTAGTAACATATTGACTGTTTTATGATAATTTTAATAGTTGAGATCATGAATCAAATGAAAATAGACCACCATGGAAAACCTGGAATCACTGGACGATCGTTTCGTCCAATTGAAACTGATAGGTCCTGGGTTCGAATCTCACGAGGCGGGATCGTGGATGTGCACTGCTGAGGAATCCCACAACAGGACAAAACGGCCGTCCAGTGCTTGAAGGTTTTCCATGGTGGTCTAGCTTCAATTGACTCATGATATCAACTATTAAAATTACTATAATATCCACAAAACCCCTTCTGTTTTATGGTACTTAATATTGAATGAACAAGTAAACAAACTGAGTAAGGAACTTTTCGTTGAGCATTACGAATCTCAAACCTTGGTAATGATACCTACTAACTTTATAAATGTTCCTACATAGCCTTCATCCTGTTCGTAATTATACTCGTTGGAATCTAAGTGACATACCATTATCGTGTATCTATGGAGCTGTCATTTTTAATTATACTCCAAAATTTATCAGTGACCAAATCACCGTTTTATTCAAGGCAACTCCAGTATCATGATCTGTGTTAGATATAACTGAACGAACGAAAAAACTAGTCCCTAACACCTTAGATTACCAATGAGTATGGCGTGCGTGTGTGTGCATCTCGTATGCTTCCCTTCTAACTATATAATGACATCATAGGCTCTTTCACATTAACTCAAAGCGTCTTAAAATTTCTGCAGGGAAATTTGTTTCAAAGTTATTTCTCAATAAGTTGAACTTTTTAAGTATTTCATTACATGACTTTTTAAACACCAGACAATTATGTAAGTAAAAAACACTGATAACTACTTTCATTAATTTACTGAAGCTAAATCTTATATGACAAACCTGAGTCATCTATTTTCAAATAGATTTATTTTCTGTTTAGTTTTCTACATTATACCGACTGGTACACGCAACTGGTCAAAATCTAGCTTGATTATCCGAAGGAAACAGATGTACGCCACTGAATCAAAAGTTGCCTTAAACATGTCTATATTCAGAAACGAGTCTGCGTTTATATCTTGATTGGCGTTTGATGATGAAAGCTTAACACCCACTCTTAGTTTTCCTATCCAAGTATCAGGATGGATTGGTTTTATGCTCTGATAAGGATAATGAATAGTAACTTTGGGATTTATTTATGAACCAATATTAGGCATATATTTTTTATCATACAATTGCTAAATAACTAAACTATTCGTATTCATGTTCCCCTTATCATGAGCTTTATTTTGAACTATAAACTATTATTAAACGATTTACCATTCTTGAGTTATCTCTACTCTATTAATTACTGCCTCCCACATTCACAGCCACATTTGGCTAAATATTGTACAAATGTTATTTTCTACTTTATTGGTACGATGTGGTCAGTCTGTTTGGTATATAAACTCAGTATGTTTGAAATACAATGATTCATACCGCAAAGGCTGTTCTGGACTTAACTGGCTGGGCTAGGCAAAAGCAGGATCGATACGTACTCTAAACTGCTCGTACGATTTCCGTGTGTCACTGTTCCAATCGATAATTCACTGCTCTTTGATTGGCGGTCTTACCACATTATAAGTTAACAAGGCATCCACTCGGCCACAAGTTACAACAACTGGTGTATAGGAAGTGTGTATATTGGTATCAGACTCGGACTACCTTCCCAAGGCACACTCCAATAAATTACCGTATGAGAAAATACTAGAAAATATGGATGGGATAAGAAGCAACAAACGAAACAACTGTCTTTCATAAATGTTTTATGATTGTCTACTTTCGATATAAATAGCTAATAGAATCTAGTTAGCATAAAAGGTACTGCTGAACTATCGATTAGACGTTCAATAGTCATTCGGATAACGAATGTGGACTGTAGATAATAACGGTCAGCAAAGGAGAAATCACACGCTTTTTAGATACTGTTGTAGTGAAGGAAGACTTCAGGTAGGGAAAAACAATTTGTTGATTGATACGAAATTAAAGAATGCTTTCGTAAAATATGAAAACCATTTATTAAATAAATTATTTCCACATCATCACAGTGTTGCCCTTTACATACTTCATGATTCTTTCAATTCTGTTTTTATTACAATTGTTCTTTGTTTACGGTGCTGTTCTCTTCAATTCAATCTTCAGCTGCCAGTCATTCCATTTCTAATTGGTGTTACATACTACTTATGTCTGTCATCATAAGTAGCATACCCCACACTGTTTCTCAGAATTTAAACAGTTATGAACTGCCGATATATCTCAATAGCTGATTTGACAATGTTCTGAACACTCAAACAGTCAGTACAACTAGTCAATTCTAAAGTAATTAATTATGTCAACTAAAAAAACTTTTAATGACAGGTTTTGTTGTACAGAAGAATTCATTGGGAATAATTATGACTGGTAATTTGTGTAAGGTTATGTATTATTATTACTATTATTATTATTATTATTATTATTAATGGCTTTATTCAATATTATATTTTTGGTACAAAATAGAATTCTCAGCACAAAGTATTTCAACAAGTTTCCATTTCTTATTTCTTGATCGATCCTGACTATAAATAATGAGTGATCACCAGTTAGATATTAGTAATTCAGGAATCGGCATCTGAAAAATGATCATTCTTTTCAACGCATACTGTCAGTCATCACAATGTCTTTGATCGTACTTTCTTGTAAGTTGTACGGCGAATGATCGTAAACTTTTCATAAACGCGCCTGAATAGGTTGTGCGATTAATATACATAATGATGTGTTATAACAAACAAAAGACAGGTAACTTGTTGAGATTTATTGATATCAAGAACTTATGACTTGATTTCATGCACTGATCTTATCATTTAGAATTTTATCAACCTAATTCATTCATGTGGAAACTCATTGGATAAAGTATAAAAACTTGAGATGGTGGAGAAGATTTGTAGCTCAGCTGGATGATTTTGATAGAGTTTTATTCTTCAGCTCAAAGAACAAAACTCCACAAAAAAGCATAAAAAATGTACAATTTTCTAAACGATTACTTAGACTATAATAATATTTGATAAACGTTATGCCCTGGTACGACCGAGAGTGGGGAGAGTCCGCTCTCCTTCTCCAAATGCTCTCACATGACCACGCGTATATAGCCTCTGACAAGGAATTTCTACTCACTGCCTTCTCGCACGGGTGTTGTTTACGAAATTGAGAAGACGAAAAGCGAATGTCCGGAGCTTTAACCGGGTTGGTGGACACGGCGAGTCCACCTAGGGGAGTTGGAAAACTCTGAATCCAAACCAATAGTGCACATGGGTTCAAGTATTCTGAAGGAACAAATGGCGTATGAATCAATCGTTGTTCACCGGCTACCATGAGACTGCATCTCGTTACGATGCTCCACTGCCATGTGGATCAGACATTTAGGTCGAAGGTTCCGGGTGTGGCTCCCTAAGAAAACCATCTGCTTCAGTTTGGGCATCTGGGCAGTATCCCAGCCTTCATACAAATCAAATGAGATTTGTGTGGCGCATATATATCTGGTGCCTCTTTGTACCAATATTTATGTGTTTAAATAAATAAATAAATAAAATTAGGACAAATTAACTTACTTCATAATTTTTAATTTGATAAAATTGTACACTGATTCCATCTAATGTCCAATCAGACATTAATGTATACATAAATTCATATGGTAATTGATCAACAATAAAATGAAATACAATAGATAATCGTTTATTATTATTATTATTCCCTTTAAATGATCGAACACGATCTATGGATTGTAACCAATTTGAATTAAATTGTGTAAAATATTTAAAATTACAACAATCATCATGTTTTGAGGAATACCATCGTTTTTGATGAAATAATATTGATTTAATTAGTGTTTCTGCTTGGTTACAATTATCAATACCACCAGCTAATAGCATAGCAATATGTATGGTATCATTATGAAAGTTATAATATGGTTTATACATTGGCTAAATTTAAACAATAAATAAAAGGGATTATAAAGTAAAGAATATGTATTTTACAGTTTATATTACGTAATGATTATAACTAAACAAGGATTGAAAAATTAGGAAGCAATGAACAATTGAACAGTACTGAAAGGTTTAAATTCATGGGGCACCCCGAATGCCCTGCTAAGGCCGAGATAAGGGAAGGGCCACCCTCCCTCTCCAAATGCTCTCACGTGGCCACGCGTATATAACCTCTCCCAGGAAAGTCCTACTCACTTCCTTCTCGTGGCATTACTCGCCCGAGAGAATTCGCACCTATCGTATACTACGTTAATCATTTGATCTTGCCTCTGGTTTGGTCTATGGTTTGTACCGATTGCGTATGTATTATGCACGAATTGTTTAATTCACTTCGATCTCGGATCAGACGTGATTACCCATTGAACTTAAGCATATCACTAAGCGGAGGAAAAGAAACTAACAAGGATTTCCCTAGTAACTGCGAGTGAACAGGGATTAGCCGAACACCGAAGCCTGCGGTTATTTGGTCGTGAGGCAATGTAGTGTTTAGGGTGGCTTCAGGCATTATTGCTCTGTCCCAAGTCCAGCAATGAGTACGTCTTCCCATTCCGGCCCAAAGAGGGTGAAAGGCCAGAGAACAAATGTGACAGTTCTGCTTTGAGCTACCCTTGGAGTTGGGTTGTTTGTGAATGCAGCCCAAAGTGGGTGGTAAACTCCATCCAAGGCTAAATACTTACACGAGTCCGATAGCAAACAAGTATTGTGAGGGAAAATTTAAAAGTACTTTGAAGAGAGAGTAAACAGTGCGTGAAACCGTTCAAAGGTAAACGGATGGAGTTGAACTGCAGGCAGTATCACAGCCCTCGCGCAAACAAATGAAATGACGCTTTCTGCTCACAATGGGATGAAATAATTATCCAATGCTTCTTGATTTTCAATAGTTGTCCAATTAAGGTCAGTTTTTAATGTAAATTATAAAAAAAGTTAATTATTTAAAATAAATTTAAAAAAATCAGTCTACGCTTGATGTGTTTCCTCACTAATATCTGTAAATTCATGCATAATTCTGAAGTTTTAATGATAATTCACTATAGTTGGAATAGATCAAGGTAGTTATGAAGCAGTAAGTAAACAGTAAGATATAATTAAAGTCAACTCAACAATAGACACTGATTAAAGCTGACAGTGTGAAACATTGAGTCCTGACTTGATAGTCTAAAGTAATAGTATCCTATAAGAGATCTACAAGTTCCGTATTCTAACCTAGTTAAATAATCAGTAAGTCTTTAATGATCATAATCACAACTGTGCTATGCTCAGTGGTCTTATACCTTGATATATTGGCTCGGTTCTTCTCATTTAAAGCAATTGGTCGCTCTATCCAAGTGCTTTAACTTCTGGGTATAAGCGTCTTGCGAAAACTTTTTTTACTTTGGGCGCAAGATCATGGATCAATTGAAGTTAGACGTTAAGATTGTCGGATGGTGGTCTAGAGGCTAAGCATTCGCGGGCGAGACCGGAGGTTCTGGGTCCGAGTTCCGCGTGAGGGATCGTAGATGTGCATTGCTAGAGAGTACCACACTAGAACGAAACGGCCGTCCAGTGCTTCCAGACTTTCTATAGTAGTCTAGCTTATATCGACTCATGAATTCAACTATTAAAATTTATCTTTTCTTGAAGTTTAGGCTTGACATAAACATAAGCTGTTTACCATTTTTGACAGTTATTTTTAAAGTGTGAACAAACACAATGCACTTCAGGAGTCAAGAAGAAAACACTTTAAAATAACTTTTTTGATAGAAACTGTCTGACTTTTAAGCATATCTCATTTAATCAGTTTATATCACTAGTGTATTACTCGTTAAATATTGGTTATTAATGGATAAGAATGTTAATAAATGTAAGCTGATAATTTAGTTTTCACATATGGCCTTTTAAAAGCGAAGTACTATATGGTCAGATGTCGATTATTATGAAATTCCTCAATTTCATACCATCTTATTTACTCTTTTCTAGTTTGTTGATAGAAAAACCCAGCGAAAATGGTTTGTGTGTCCGTTTATATGTGAATCTTTCGTCTTTGAGCATTTCTATGTTTCCAATGTGACTCGTATCTTCTACTGATATTTTTCTACAATTTGTCTATGAATGGCTTATCAAAATAGATAATGAAGAGATTGACATAACGACAGAATACAAACATATTCTGTCTGTCGAGTTATATTAATATTATACAACGATAAGGCTGGTAACCGAGATGTTTGCCATTATTAGGCTAGACGCTCGATCGATAAGCTGAACGCAAATTGGAACCACATTACATCAGACACGTGGCTCGTGACCTATTACACAGAATCAGAGCAAAAAACTAAACAATACTTTATCGAACACAATTACAAGCAATCTACATTTACTTACTTCAAAGTAGAAATCATTACCAGTAAGGAAATAGCAAAGTAAATAGTAACTTAATTGTTCATCTGTCCTCGCTTAATGGCCTATCATATACTATCATACTATACTAACCACATATCATAGATATGAAAGTTTTCTATTATTATCATCATAAATTACCTTGAGTTATCTCGTGAAAGAAACTATTAAACATTTAGAAACTCAATATCATTGTCTTTTTCTAATCTAGTGCATACTTATCGACCTGTTCCACTTAGTTGACTTTTTATTGATAACTAGCATGACTGGTAAAAGTGGAAAATCGGTGTTTGTATTGACGTCATCATTTTTATCCAAGATTAATTATTTCTTATCTTAAGAAACATGCCATCTTTGTGAAAACTACAAGATATACGGGAAGTGTAATTCATGGGTATTAGGTATTTTCGAAACATTACTTGCTTATCGTGGAACAACCGAGTGAGCAGTGTTAACATTAAGTACAGGAAACTAGGGAAATGTGGCAAGTCACTTGATAAAATCCTAATTCTTAGTCGATTGAAGTGGTTAGGACAAGTATTATGGATGTCTTACCACTGCCTAACCTAGCATGCAAAGTTAGATGGAATTGGAATAGGTTTGAAGAAAGCTAGGAGGGTCTCAGTTAACTTGACTGTTGATCTAAACCATGTTGGTAGATACATTCTACCTGGTTAGGGTCCTCATAATAACAGTGATCAATGGTCGGATATGCTGAATGACATGGATTACGACCGGTCACAATGGACCTGATTCATTCACTCAATAACTTACTTTAGATCTTGAGTTTCAGAATTCTTTCTTACTTACCTTTCATTTCTTTATTTACGAACGACACTGTCAATGTTTAGTCTTTTGCACTATCATTGATATTACATTATTTCGACCTAGTAATAATAAATCTTATTAACTTTATCTCGCTATAAAAATAAATCATAAACAGAATTTGAAATGAATATTCCTAGTGTCATTAGAGGATAAAAGATCAAAAACACATTTGTGTTCAGCATCATTCGTGTTCAGTATTACTTCCATTTGTAATTCAGTGTGATAAATTGTTCATTATATTTTAGTGTGACATTTATTTAACTCCGCCTGTAGCTCCTCCGGGGGCTACTGCCGGTCCCAAGCCCGGATAAAGGAGGGTTGGGCACGGGGTTAGCGACCTCATTTCAGATGATACTCTTTGTATTAACTTAATGTGAACTTTATTCAGCATAACACACATCATACGTTTTTGGTAATTCTGTGTAATAGTGATTTTCTGTGTTTCTTCTGTGTCAACTGTCGGTGATATTTTAAAAGTTAAAGTTGCGAACCGATTTTGACTAGATCTCAATTGAAAACCTGGAAACATTGGACGGCTGTTTCATCCTAGTTTTTGGCTCCCTAGCATAACCGCGTATTCTCGGTACAAACCCAGGACCATTGGTCCCGTGATAGTAGTAATATTTTTGACTAAACGTCTAGTACGAACAAAATCAGTATATAACTGGTTGTATTTGAATAAGTGTTTGTTATCCTGTTTATGGAGAGTGGATAAAATCTTAATCTGCCATCACAGTCTTGTTTTCTTCCTTTCACTGAGCAAATCTCAGTGTTTTTTCATTCAAGTACCAGTTTATGCAGTTGTAATATATAGTTCACGAATGATGTCCTTTGAAAACCCACAGTTCATAATATACAGTCATACTGTACAGTGTCGGGCCCTGATACTGATACTAAAGCTTCTTATTCATGACCCAACCAGCTACCTGACTGGGAAGACCGTAAGTGAGACGGAAGCTCTAAATCAACCAACCAAATAGAAGAATAATTGAACACTCATTCATATACATGTGTATTTGTCTCATAGAAATTAAAGCCACATTTCTAAACCATATAGTGTGTGCCTCATCCCTTGGGAAAAGAAGTCATATCTTAAAAAAAACTATTGCAGCTATTATTTGTCTAGAATCTGATAGCCCCACTATATCATGCACACATCGTCATGTGAAAATCGATTATTTCAAATAATTCCTTCTTGTCCACCGATAAAGATACTGCTATTCATTATCTTACCATCGAATATATTAAAAATATACAATTAAACAATAATTCAGTTATTCATCGTTTAATAGATGTTTACATTATTAATGTAGTGATTTGCTTCACTACAACGAATGTAATTAGTCCGTTTTATAAATTTGGATAGTGTAATAAGAAGACGAAGATTATCAGAACTAAGTGATGTTTTTAGCGCAATACATTTCGAACCATCTGATTACTTCTATACTTGTCAACTAGACTAGAAGGTAAGAGGAGATAAACATAATAAAGAAAATAATATGAAAAACAGTTGGAAACCTCATCACTCTGGATAATAAGCTAATAACACTAGGGTAGGTTTAATGTGAGAACAAGCCTTTTTTGAATACATAAAAGGGAGTTTGAATTTTCGTATGGCTAACGCTTCAATAAACTTTAGTATACTCCCTTTTACACCTTGGTACAACACCACAAAAGTTATTTTAAGATCAATCTTACAACCTATTTCAACTATATGTTTGGCGACAGAGGATGTT